CTAAGAAGCGCCCAGTTAAACTACTGCACATTCCTAATGCCCAAGCCACCATTCTTCCGCAGTCTACATACCATTTCCCATTTCACCCACAGAATTTTAGATCCACCCTTAACATCCTTCCATAAAAAATACCGTTGGATAGTGACAATCTCCTTTATCACCGACTTCAGCACCTTAAAAAAGGATAACAAGTGCAATGACATTGAATTAAGAACGGCATTGATCAAAGTCACCCTACCTCCAATCGATAAATACCTATGCTTCCATGACGCTAACCTCTTTTTAAGAGCCTCTAACACACCCTTCCATGCACTAGGCTTTCTCGGGTTAACACCTAACTGTAACCCGAGATACTTTAATGGGAAACTACCAATCTTACAATGTAAGAACTCCGCCGCCAAGTTTTCAAAGTCATCACTAGTGTTAATCCCCAATACACAACTTTTATGAAAGTTAATTTTCATACCTGACATTAATTCAAAGCTACGCAATACTGCTTTCAAAGTTCATAAGTTCTAAACCGAAGCCCCTTTCATAATCAATGTGTCATCTGCAAAATGCAGCAAAGAAATATCCAGTCCCCCTACCCCCAATCTTCACACCAGAGAACAACCCACAAGCCACTGCCTTCCGCATAAGAACTCCTAACCCTTCCGCTGCCACAAGAAAAAGGAAAAGGGCAAGAGGATCCTCCTGTTTTAAGTCTCGCTCAATATGAACGTCCAATGTAGGACAACCATTAATCAAAGCTGATAGGTTATCCCCATACACACAAGCTTCTATCCAACTAACCCATTTTTCTGAAAATCCAAAGCTACGTAACATAAACAAAAAATATCCTCACTCCACCGAATCATAAGCCTTCTCATAATTAAGTTTTAACACAAAAACCTCTTGTTATACCTCCGCACATAATTAACTGCTTCATTAGCCACAAGTACACTATCTAACATATTCCTTCCCGGGATAAAGGCTGATTGTTCTTCTGAAATTATTGAATCCAAAACCCCTTTTAACCTATTTGCCAAAAGCTTGGAAACAATCTTATAAAGATAACCTAATAATGAGATAGGCCGAAAGTCAGATATTTGTTGTAGGCAAGACACTTTTGGTACAAGTGCTACAAAGTAAGATAACAAAGACCTAGGTAGTTTCCCATTTCTACAAAATTCAGTAAGCATACCCATCACTTCTTCCTTGATCACTCCCCAAAACCTCTTAAGGAACACAAAATTGAAACCATCAGGCCTTAAACTTTTATCCCCCTCACACTCCAAAATCATCCTTCCCACTTCTTCCTCTAAAAAAGCATTAACAAGCCCCTCATTCTATAGAACAAAGACTCTCGGTAAATCATTAACATCAATAGTAGGTCGAAGTCAACCTTTACTACTAAAATGAGCCGCAAAATAGGACACCACACCTGCTTTAATCCCATCAACCTCTTCTACACATCTCTCCCCAATTTGAAGCGCATGTATATTATTTTGTCGCATCCTCCCATTAACACACAAATGAAAGAACTTTGTATTTAAGTCACCCTCTTTCTTCCATCTCACTCGAGCTTTTTCGGCTATGAGACTCTCCCTATTCTTTCTAACCTTCCAAATATCACCCACCAATATCTGTTAACGCTCCTTCTCCACATCAGAAAGTTCCATCACATAATTTTTATCATCAATCAAGCTCAACTCAGTTGTCAAATCAGAGATCACCTTATCAACATTTCTAAATACCTCAATATTTTATTTTTTCAATGCAATCTTAACATTCCTCAACCTTTGGCTAGCTCTCTAGACAGCCCATGAAAGGGAAATATCTCTTTTCCACGCTTCCTCCACCACCTTCACAACTCCTTTATGAGTCAGCCAACAATTGTTAAATCAAAATGGCTTCGGACCCCAGTTAACCACTTTATGCTTAAGAATAATGAGACAATGATCAGACACATCTCTGCTCAGAACCTGAATGAAACCATCTCCCCAGTAATCAAGCCAAGAACTAGAAACAAAGACTTTATTCAGTCTGCTCATCATAGAAGCATCCCCTTTTATCCATGTAAAGTTTTTACCCACAAGTGGAAGATCTACAAGTTCCATTTCTTGAATGTAAGAATTGAAGCCATTCATTTCAGAGATACCATGGTCTACTTGACAACCCTTTCTCTCTTGCACCTATCTCACAGCATTGAAGTCACCCAATATACACCACATAAATTTGCCAAAACCCCTTCTTGTCATGAGCAAATCATCCCATATGTTTCCAGTAGCCAATACCTGCAAGCAAACAACCAGGAATCTAGTACCAAAAGAGGAAAAAAGTATTTTACCTTTAGAAGTATCCCAAAGTGAAAGCATACCCCCGCTTCTGCCAATGGAGGGCAAGGCACACCAATCAAAATCCACAGAACCCCATAGACGTGCACATAAATTACTATTACATGTTTCAAGTTTAGTTTCCTGAATCGCCAAGAACTCCAGACCTTCAGAGTGAACAATCTCACACACCTTCTTTTGCTTTACCTCGCTCTCCAACCCTCGACAATTAAATGAGCCAATCTTTATTTAGAATCAAAGGGAATCTCATGTTCTTTCGCAATCATTCTATCACGTACCTCCATCTCAATCAATTTCTCTCGAACTTGCTCATCGTTACCATGTACAACCAAACCAACCTTATTACCAATGTCTAGTAACATCGACGCCATTACCTCATTATCACAATTTGTAGCAACCATTTGCTCCCCCACCTCCACTGAAGGATTGGGAGGATGCGAGTTGTAGGAGCTCTTGAAAACATTAGTTGAGATTTCATCAGTTAGCGATACATGTCTTTTAAGTTGCGATGACATTGACACTTCTTTATTGTGATTCCTAAAGTTTTTTTGAAGGGGTTCTTAGAAACTGCGCTCTTATGTCTCTTCTCTCCTTCATTACCTTGACTACCTTTCACAAAGCGTGCCCTCCGAAGGGATTCACACACATTGACCCTCTCTCTCTCAATTTTGGATTGAAAGGGGTCGACTTGTGCTGTCCCAATTGTCTTCATATCCCATGATTCTGGGTTTTTCCAAATCAATGCATCTAATCCAAACGGGTCTGATAAATTTAACTCATCTCTTGCTATTGGGACTCCTCTCTCCACATTTTCAGAAGGCTCATTCACAACATCACTAATAGCCACCGTCAGACCCATAACATCCACACCACCAGCCCCCAAACCCTTATCCACCATGCACCCTTTTGCTGACACTTCACCCCTAATCACAGAATCAACCAAACGACCCTTATTTCTGATATCACCTTGCAGCACACCCTCCTCCTCACTAGAATAGTTATCTAACGCTTCCAACTCCATTGAACCAACCTCAGATGAGTCATTGTCATCCTCAGAAGAGTTAGTCACACCTTCCTCTGTTACGGCTATTATGCCACAGGCATGCTCTTCAAGTATGACTATTGAGTAAAAACGATCATTGACTTTTACTGTAATGTTTTGCTGGATAAGTTCAGTAATGGTAGTACCTAATTGCATCCTCCCATAATCCAATCGTTGTCTTTCTGCCGTGACTTGGTCTATCTGGATAAAATCACCAAGCGAAAAAACTAACTTACGGAAGAATAATTCATTCCAAGCATGTAAAGAGACCCCATAACAATGTACACAAGTCACCCTTTGTGCAGCAACCATACTTGGGTGCCACTCTATTTCTCCCACCACAATTTGTTGAGCGATACTATATCCTCTAAATCTACCTTCGCATCAGATTCCACCAACACCATATCATCACCCATAGTCGTGAGATTAATATCCAACATACCTTCTTGCAGGAGAGCCCTTCGCATATTTTTCAAATCCTGTTTTCTATGAAGGTGTCCGACCATAGCACCTCTACACTCCTGAATTCGCCCCCTCATCCACCTCGAACTCAAGGTGAGTCCAATGTTTCTTCTTTTCCACCCACTTCTGCTCTATGTGTGTCTCAACTAGATGATGTGCTTTAAGCTTGTCTGCATACGTATTCCCTGACGTCTTTGTAGCTCCTATGACAAAAGAGTGCCTTGTTTCACTGCCTTCCGCAGACACCTTTGTACCCACAGTTTTCTCCCTTGCATGCCTTGTCAAGTTAATAGACAAGCGCATTCTGCCAATGACAATAGATCTAAGCTTAGCCTCCAAACTCTTGGCATCCGCCACATCCACAAAATGCACAAAATCAAAACGACATCCTAGTTTATCACTCTTTTGAGGTATGAAAACATCAACCACCTTCCCCCACCATTGAAATACCCACCACAAGGCTGAGACACCAGTAACAAGTGAAAAATTCGTAAAAAAGTAAGATGTGGAATTGTTGAGAACTTTTCCAAGATGCCCACCAAATTTACCCCTTCCTCTAAACCTCCGTTCCACCATTGAATTCTCCAACTTCTCTTTTGCGTTTCAAATTAAGAAAAAAGAAATAAAAAAATTGGTAACGTAATTTATGATTATGTATCGGCATTCACGCGTAGAGAAAAAGACAGTCATCCCCATAATTTGAAAACCAACGTTTCCTTCTTCCTTCTCTTGTAATTCATAATACATAACCCGAATTTGATAACTGACTTGACGATTTAAATCCCAATTCCAAAGTGATAATTCTGATATATTCTAAGTGATAATTCCAAAGTAATAATACGATTACAGAGATCAGAAATTGAATATGTAAGTTCTCAGATAAGATCTATTCGACGTCGTTGCAATACTAATGGCTCCGTTCAGCAACGATGAAACGGCACCCTCCTCGATCTTCTTCGTGGTTCGGTTACAGAGCCCCTTTTACCTTCCCAAACCTCGATGAGAGATTTTCGTCACGAAATGGAAGTCATAATATTTTGAAAAACATGGATGATGCTAGAATTCAAAAATATTCAAAACCGTATTATATGGAAAGAGTTTATGAATTTTCTTGTTGATCCAGCTGTTCAATATAATGCCAGTTATTACAGCAATTGAACATGGAGTTTGTGAGCACAATTGAAGAGGAAGCAATGATAATGTCCAAGAGTACTAAGAGGGATGAAGAGGGCATATTCTTGACATGGGAGGATTTGCAAGTAAATGTTCCAAATGGAAGAAAGGGTAGGAAACCAATTCTTGAGGGTGTGACAGGTTATGCTAAGCCAATAATACATAAATATTTAAATGAATATTTACACAATTTAGTATTATAGTGATATTGCTTGCCCAAAGTACGAAGTTGAGGAAAGAGATTAAGGCAAAGGGTTGCAGAGTATGGGAATCACGTTTTTGTTCACCAGAACTCATGGTCTTATCTGCATGAAATGCTAACAAAGATTGTAACTAAAGATTTGGATGGATATATTAGTGTCTCTTTTACTTATACAAAATGAAAAATCATTGGTCATACATGAGGATAGATACACATATATCTAGAAATTAATGTTGTCATGTTATGTTCACTTTTATAAACTAGTGCTTAGTCCAATGTCGCAGGTCTACCCTTGCTCCCAACAAATCGGTGTTGTCATTCATGTAAAGGCTACTAAATTATGCGAACTCAACTTCATCACATATGTCCAAATTTGGATGACTTGAAATCTAAGCTTCTCAATATTTTAATGTCACTTAATCTCAGATAGGTTTGACCTTAATTTGCCGGCCAATCAAATTATTTTGATTAGTAAATAATAATAATAATAATAAGCTCTTGACTTTTGAGAAAGTAGTTTTATAGTGTGTGGGTGTGATGCAGCTGTAGATTTTATTGAACTCCAATTTTAATTAGTCAAGGATTACATGTAAAGCAGATGTCTCTGTTTATCTTTGTGATTGGTTTATTATCAGTATTCTGGTTTTGTTTGAAAATTTTATTACTTATCAAGATAGGATCATTGTGAAAATAAAAAATGTGTCCTTCCCTCCTCTATGGCATCCTAAATCTCTTTTCCTTCCTAAACAACTCCGTACAAAATAGTTGGCACCATCTCATCTCTTCTAAATAAATATTGACAACTTCTATATCATGCAACTATCTAGAACTCACGGAGGGAGAAAAAAAAAAGAATTTGAAGGATAAAGGAAGAGAGAGTAAGAGAATTAATAACATAAAATTTAAACTGAAGAAACTTAAAATCATAAGCTTAAGAAAGTTTATTCCTTTCTCATTTAAAAATTTTTAAAAGAAGTCTAAAACTTTATTTGAGAGTTTAGAAAAAAAAAAAGAGTTTGAAGGGGATAATAGAGAAAAAAAAATGAAAAATAAAAAGGAAGGAATGTTAATAAAATAAATTTTAAATGAAAACTCAAAAACGTGAATTTATGAGAATTTATGAACCTTTTTCTTCTCATTTAAAATTTTCTAAGTTTTATCTTTACCCTTTTTTTTTATCCAAAAAATAACTCTAATAAAACGGAAGAATAGTGCACCTAAACATCCCTTCTATTTTGACACTGCCAAATTACAAATAATATACCCCTCCCCCCCCCCCCCCCAAAAAAAAAAAAACAAAAAAAAAAAACGAAAATCCTCTTTAATATATGTGACAATCCCCTTGCCTAAATTATACCTTAACTACTGTATTCTATCGAGAGTGAACAAATATAGTAGTTAATATGAGTTGGCACCCACAATCACGAAGAGCATGCAATGTATTTCTTTATGGTTCCCACAAAGAGCACAAATCGCATTATGTCATATGTCTAAGAGTTTTATTGGCATTTGCAAGAAGGGCATCATGTGCCACCAGCTAGAGAAAGCTTCTAACTATTTGATGTCCCTTCAATCTTCTGTCTGTACCTTGCAAATAAATTTTAAACATTTATTGTTTTACAAAATTAAATTGATGTCATTGGGATTAAAATGAACTATAATTCTATTTAATGATAAAGCAATTAAAAAAATTAAAGAAACTAGTCAATGCATTAAAACATAACAAAGGAACTATCTGGGCTATAGGCTTTTTCAAATGGGCAAATTCACCGCTGCTGGAACCCAAATTTTCATGTGATTATTTAATATACATCATCTACTTATTTTAAGCATTTCATTTATGATTTGTTATCGATTTAATCTAGAATAACTCACAGTCAATTCCTTATTTCATGTTAGATCAACCCAATTTGATTAATTTCTCATTTTAAATTTCAAAAGAAAGAGGTTGAAATCTTCCAAAGAAGGATGAAAAATATACTTTTATTCCACTATGAACAAAATCCTTAGGTACGAATGTTAGGGATGGTGATAGCCAATCCTAGCAATATTAACTACAAGTGGCGCAGTCAATGTGGCTAATGGTGTTCTGTTTGCCGTATCTCCAATGGCAAGTGAGAAATGCATACAGTGGTTAGTGATGGCTGCAGTTACTTTAATATTTTTTATGGTATTTTTAATTAAAATTTTATTTAATAAATTATAATTTAGATTAAATATTTATTTTTACTAAAATAAAAAAAATTATTTTAATTAAAAATAACACTAAAAGTAGAAACAAACAAAAAACTGTGGCTAGCTTTTTTTAAACCCTAAATTTTATTCTTTGTAACTGAGGTGGTGTCTGAATCAGAGAGGGTTTTATTTATGTAAGTCAGCGGCTGAGCTCAATTACTGCGCCTGCAGAGTACAACGTCACCGAACCAGCATTACCCTGCACGATAGGATACAAACTAAATTCACAAAATTTACTTTTCTATAAATTGCTTAGGTCAAGCCTTGTTTTACCTTAAATGTGTTTGATCTATTTTTCAAATTTGTTATATTTCTTTTAACTCTATATTAAAATTTGACATAACCTTCTAAAAAGTCTACTTGACCTAAAAATGTATTTGAAAGCAAATTTTATACCTTTAAAATAAGTTAGTATACTTATTTTTAAGGCTAAAGAACGTGTCTTTATACAAGCTAAAGTACCCAAACTTTTAAATAAATTTACCAACATGTAATTCCAAATTATCATGATATAAAACTTTGTTGTTAAGATGTAGACTGTCTATAGGTAATTCTCATGGACTTACTATGTAATATATTAGTTAAGATAACTTTTTTAAAATTAATTAATTATGATGTGTATATGGATTGGAATTCTTCTCCCCCTTAATATATTTTTGCTTATTATAACTTATAATGATAAAATATAATAAACTTAATATTATTATATCATTTATGTACACTTAAAGTAGTTTACTTGTAACTCGAAAAATTAACACAATAATATAAGGTTATATTATATTAATATGTGTGTGATTGATTTATTTAAAAAAATTAGTTTACTTATTAACGTTGAAAGGTTTTTTCAATAACTTAAAACCTGACCTTTCTTAAAAATATTGGCCTAACTTTAGTCAAAGTTTAAGTTAGGTTATAAACCCTCAAAATCTATTCTTTTAATCAGACCTCAAATTAAAAGGGTAGATTTTGTTAAATTTTAGTATATACGATGGAGATAAGTGCACTGAATATAAATTATTAATATATCATTAATATTGACAATTAATAAAAATTTAATAACCATGAACAGCATAAACATAGTATGCATTCAACTTCATCTATTAGATATATTTTACACAAAATAAATTCAACCACTCCAAAGTTGATAAAAAATTAAAATAAATAAGAGTAAAAAGTGTAAATTAATTTAAACCTAAAATTTAGGATTCCAATTTTATGTAAAATAGGTCATGATTATCTACTAATATTTTAGGATAACTTCTTTTTAAAGGAAATAGTTTCCGGGTAATCATGAAAAAAAAATGTTTTCCCTGCTGTCCAGTAGATTTTAGTGTGAAATTTAAAGTCAATTATGCGTGCTTTTTATTTTTATTAAAATATTATATATATATATATATATATATATATATATTCTTTATCATTAATATATAAATTAATACTATAGTACACTATATTATATTTTTGTTAATTATTAGACAAAATTTAAATTGAAAGATTTAGTTTTAAGAATAGAAAAACTATTAAATCTAAATATCAATAATTAAAATTAGAAAGATCAAATTTAAACATAAACTAAAAAGCGGGAAAATAAACACAATTAAACCTAATATATTAAATACATAGTTCATGTAAAACATTCAAGCATCCAAACGTTAGCCAAAAAGCCATTCACTTGATCCCCCCCCCCCCCTTTATTTATTTAAAGAGAAGATCACATTGTTATTATAATAAGAAAGATGAGCTTGGGATCCTCTTAATTAATGTAATTTTCTTTGAACTGTAGTTCTTGATTGACTTTTTATTCCTATAAAAAAATAAAAATAAGAAGATCGAAAAAGAAAAATTGATTCATTCCTATGAAGTCAAATATTTTTATTAAAACTATGAACGTGGTGGATATTGCTACAATTTTTTTAATGTGTTAAATTCAGAGTCAAATATTTGAATATCAGACTGTCCTTATGCAACTAGGCCACTTTTCTTTTCCATATATATGTGAGTCTCTTCGAAATGAGCTTCCCAAACATACATTGTTTATTGCCACACCATCTCCGTGGTCCAATACAGCATGCACTTTGTTCTTCGTTTATTGCTGTTTTGTGTTCATGCGGTAGTCATCTTTGCTGCAAGATCAGATGTATGATATTAATTCCCACTGTCATTTTAGATAGCACTTGTATATATACTTTAATGATTCCTCTCATCAATTAAAATTTTTTTTTAACGTGTAATCAATGATATATTATAAGAAAATAATGAATAATATTTTTTTATTAACAATCATATGTAATATTTAATATGATTAAGATATCAAATTATGTAATATTTTATAAATTTAAATACAAAATTATTATATATAAGTTTTTATTGTGTATTCGCGTAAGAAAAATCGTTAAAATTATTCTTACTGATTCTTTGTGTCCAGGGGCTTAGACAACAATCACAAGACTGGTTAAACCATGGTGGAGATTTGTTGAACAGAAGATGCGCTTACAAAGAGAATAAGATCAGCACTACAACAGCACCGAACCTACGTTTGAAATGGAAATTCTATGCAGGAAAAGACATAACTGCAACACCAACCATATTTGATGGAGTCCTTTATTTTCCAAGTTGGAATGGTGACATCTATGCAGTTAAAGAAGCTGATGGATCCCTTGTTTGGAAGCAGAACTTGCACAAACTAACAGGTCTAAATGCAACTGGCCTTGTTTCCAATGTGAATTGGACAGTGTCAAGATCAACACCCACTGTGGCTGAGGATTTGCTGATTACTGGAATCTATGGTCCTGCTATGGTTATTGCTCTCAAAAGATCAACTGGTGAACTTGTGTGGAACACCACTTTGGATAACCATTCTTTTGCCGTCATCACCATGTCTGGAACATACCACAATGGGTCAGTACAATACAACTGCACCTCTCTTGGCTTTTTTTATAACAAGCCTTTAATTTTGTCCATTCAAATTCTCACTCTCTAAAACTGCGCTAAGCAACTTATCAGTGGCAGAAAACATCATACTCTATTTGAAACTTTATTCTATTTTTAAGACTGTCAATGAACCTGTTTTGATAAAGAATTCAAATCTTTTCTTGATATGTCATTTGTGGTATATTAACATATGTAACAAACTATTTAATGAAATTTTAAAAATAGAAAATAGTGTAATTATTCGCTTGTTAAATAAGAACTTTATCCTTAAAGTTGTTGAAATAAACTGAAAAAAATTATAAGGTCGGCCATAAGATACATCGGTAAAGTTAACTCCCACTTAAGTGTTTATATATATGATAAAATAAATTTAAATTAGTTTTGTACAACCTTTTGTAATTCTTCCTAAATTATTTTTGGGTTCAGTTTTTCCACTTGAATTTTTTTTTCAAATTAATGAAATTGACAATTTAATCAGTTATATTAGTAAAGGAAAGATTTCAGACCTAGATTTACTAATTGATAATATTGATTATTGAAAAACTAGACCGGACAAAAGATCTGCAGTTAGTTAATTATTATTGTTGAAATAAAACAGGAACCATTATTAACTATAAACTAGCTCGGAGGAGCACGAGATATGCCCCAAAATAGATTTTCAGAAATTTTAATAATTTTGCACTAGGTATACACACTAATCACCGATTCCTCAGCACTTTTAATTGTTTTCGGTAGACTATGAATCTAATCTCAAGAATTTGTTTTAGATTTAACTTATGACTGAACCATGTCTACTGGATTTTTGTTTTCTCTTTGTTTTTGGTGAGTAAAAAAAGAGATATTTCTTTTGACAAAGTTGTCAATATTTTAATATTTTAGAATTTTACATGTAATTATTGACATATTAAGTATGGATTTTAACCTTTAAATTTTATTGTAAATAGTTAAAATTAAAACATAAAAAAGTCATATAATTATTTTAACAAATTATAAAAGTATTTTAAATAATCATGTTATTTTATGTTATTATTAATATTAATTGTTTATGTATGATTATACTCATATATATATATATCGATCCTTGTGCCTTTTGTTAAAAATTAGTTAAGATGGTTATTAGTCAGTGGTTTATGGGCTATATAAGCTTTATCTCCTCTTGTAATAAAACATTTTCACTCATTTAGATTAATACAATTTTATTTTTCTTTCAACAAAGTTTACTTTTCTTTTATTTTAGTTTCTATTATTTTTTCTTGGCCATGTTTCTTGACACTTCTACTGCAATATTATATGCTTAACTCTCCGCATGAAGATATTACTATATCGGAACATCTTCACTAGAAGAACTTGCAACCGCTGAACAATGTTGCATATTTCGTGGAAGCTTTTCAAAACTAGATGCACGATCTGGTGCCATCTTATGGAAGACTTATATGTTGCCAAATAACAATAACATGAAAGGAAATTATGCTGGGGCTGCCGTTTGGGGAAGTAGTCCCTCTATTGATGTTAATAGAAACCATGTCTACATTGGCACTGGGAACCTATATTCTGCCCCATTACGCATAATTCAATGCCGAGAAAGACAAAATAATCGAACTTCCCCTACGCAACCTGACGAGTGTATTGAACCAGACAACCACTCTAATTCAATCTTGGCCCTTGATTTGGACTCTGGCAAAATCAAATGGTACGGCCAGTTTGGAGGCTATGATGTATGGCGCTTTTCATGTTTGAATGCTTCAAATCCAGATTGCCCTCCTTTAGGTGTTAACCAAGATGCTGATTTTGGGGAGGCTCCAATGATGCTGACTACATATGTAAATGGAATCAAGAAAGATATTGTTGTTGCTGTCCAGAAAAATGGCTATGCTTGGGCTTTAGATCGCGACAATGGCAATATCACTTGGTTTACAGTAAGAGATAATTCATTTCTAGTTGAATAATTTCTATTATCAAAAGAACTATTTGATATTATGTTATTGGATTCATAAAATTTTGAGAAACCAAATCTATTACTTGAGAAATGTATAAGAATTTGTCTTTCCAAACCATGATATTGATGATTTAATCAAATAAATTTGATTGCATAAAGCTCTTGTATAAATTAAAAACTCAATTTTTTTTTTCTTTTCAGGAAGCTGGGCCTGGTGGGCTAGCAGGGGGTGGACATTGGGGTGCAGCAACTGATGAAAAGAGGGTGTACACCAACATTGCAAATTCTATGGCCCTAAATTTCACTCTTTTGCCATCAAATAAGAATACAACCGCTGGTGGGTGGGTGGGAATGGATAGCTCAAGTGGGAGAGTTTTATGGTCAACAGCTAACCCAAGAAACAGCACAGCCAATGGCCCAGTTAGTGTTGCAAACGATGTTGTCTTTGCTGGATCCACAGATAGCAATGGATTCATCTTTGCAATGAATGCCAAAAATGGAAAAATTTTATGGTCCTATAAAACTGGAGCAAGTGTCTATGGAGGCATGTCAGTTAAAAATGGGTGCATGTATGTGGGTAATGGTTACAATGTAAGCCTTGGGGCACTCTTGAACATGACTGGTGGACTCTTCCTCTTTGCGTTCTGTGTTTAATTTATGTAGTTTTTTTTCTTCTTTTTATGGCTAATAACATGCATGTTGGCATTAGTTTATTTTTTAAAAAATAATTATTTTATCAGCTTTTTAAAAGAAGATTTTAAATTAATTATTTAACAAAATTAAATTATTGTCAATCGTGCATTAAATTTGAATGGATCAATAAATCAGAAACTGTCATCATGATATTTTCTTGTCTTGGTTATTGGTTATATTCAACAAAATTTTAAACAGGCATTTTAAAATATAATATTTAAGAAATCATTAAAAAAAATTCTATTTACTAACAAATAAAAAAGTGCTAAACATTAGTGCTAGTTGCGACTAACAAAAGTGTAATTGTTAGTAAGGATTTTTATTGTCTGTACTAACAAATAATGTAGCATAACATTTGTGTATTGATAATATATACTAATAATATTATTTATTAGTATAACGTATTATATTTTTTTGGTAAAAACTCAAAATGTTTATATTAACAAAGCAATTTTCATTAAAAAAAAATTATACCACAAAAAGTGTTAGCAATCACAATTTTTTTTAGATGTGAATTGCTAATTTATCACCTATATGTTGTACGATAAAATTAAGATAAAATACGAACATAGTTAAGATGAAAATATTTTTTCATAGAAAAATTTAAATAATCATGATAACACAGCAATTTATGGTATCTAAAAACTTCAAAGTCCTTAAGCTTGCATTCACAGAGGACAAAAATCATTGGGAAGGTATTGATCCATTTGATTTTCTATACACAAACGTGTCTCTATGTAAATTTGTTTAGTGAAACAGTTTCACCTCAATACAAGAAGATTTAAGAAAAAAACTATTGCTCAACGCTTGATAAGAATTTATGTCTAGCACAATGAGCCACACTATAACAAAAGTGGATGAAAGAATTCAATTTCCTTCTTATTGCCTATAGACCAATTTCGAAACTCAAGCAAATATAAGATCATAAATGCTCAACGCCCAAAAAAAAAAAAAAAAAAAAAAAAAAAAAAAAAAAAACAAAGAATCAAGTTCAAGGTCCATGTAGATTCACACTTATCACTGACAATAAGTTGTGTATGATGCAAAGCTGCAATATGCAGACAACTACTTTCTAATACACACACACATAACACAAAGGTGATTAGGGTGTTCTTCCAAATTTCAATGGAATCACTGATATTGTGATGAGTTATGCATGGCGATAAACTAAAATTGAGGTTGCATGTGAAGTTACACCAAAAATCATAATGAAGGGACAATTAACCTCAAAGACACAAAAATCCATGACCAAAAAATAAAGACACAAAATTCCTAAATGAAAGCAAACGTAAGATATAAATGTTAAACCTCTTAACAAGAGATCCTTCAACGTGAGACTCCTAACTTAGTCAAGTTATTTCCCCCTAACTATAGCCGCATAAGTAGACCACAAATTTAGTAAAACTCATTCGTAAATTTCTTTCGGTGCCTAGCACGCCAAGTTGAGAAGGCGGTTTTGGTGGGTCTCCTCTTATCTCCCTAATAAAAACAAACAAGAATGATGTTTACAGTACACCAGAATTTGATCATATATTTTTATATGGATCAATAGTATAATGGTAACTAATTGTTAATTTGATATGAAATTTAAATTAGAATTTAATTAATTTTATGTTACAAATTTGAATCTATTTTTGGATAACGATATTTTTAAGATTTATTTTTATTCTAATTAAGTCACTTATCTTATTTTGTATCGATCATTTAGTTTTATTTAAAACATTTTATTCCTTTTAAATATTATTCCTTAAATTTAATTTCAATTTCATATAAATTTTAATCTTGATGCACATTACCCAAACAAAAAAAAATGTTTAATAACTTAAAATTTGAAATTATCATAATTTTAATCAGTCTCAATTTAATTTTAATTTTTAACTTGTAAATTTTGACACACCGTATTAATAAAGATGATACATTTTTTTTATTTAAACAATTTATTTGCATAATATTTGTCTTAATTTTAAATGTTTTATCTATTTAATTTATTTCTGTTTAATATAATATAATAGTTATTGTTAATAATAAAAGCATGCTAGTTTTCAATAAATTCCCACCCCAATATTATTCTATGAGTAGAGATATCAAACACAAAAATTAAAATAAATATTTAAAACTCCATATTATCAACCACAAGCCAAGAAAACAAATTTGAATACCAGCATAATAGTTTTACTGTTTTATTGATGCAATCAATGGTTAAAATATTGAGTATGTACATTTCTTTAGACACAGAAAGCAAAGAGGAAGATTCCACTAGTCAAGTTCGAGAGAGGCCCCAGATTTACATTGTATCCATGACCCACGTATATGCACCCATTGCCAATTGACATGCCTCCATAGACACTGCCACCAGTTTTATAGGACCATAAAATTTTCCCACTCATAGCATTGATTGCATAAATGGATCCCTCTTTATCCGTGGATCCAGCAAAGACAACTTCATTTGCAACACTAACTGGGCCACTAGCACTGCTATTACTTGGGTTAGCCGTGGACCATAGAATTTTTCCATTGGAGGAATCCATTCCCACCCACCCACCAGTGGTTGTAATCCTATTTGATGGGAAAAGAGTGAAATTTTTGTTCTGGGAATTTGCAATGTTGGTGTAAACCCTCCTTTCATCAGTTGCTGCCCCCCACGTTCCACCTCCTGCAAATCCTCCGGGGCCAGCTTCCTACAAATGCATATGAATGAGTTTAATTTCAATTCACAATGAGTTAGAGGCATACAAAATCAAGTTTAATTGGATTGCCACGTGACTCTATAGCACAGGAATTGTATAGAAAGACAAATTCTCTTACAATTTTCAAGTAACGGTTTTGGAGTGTATTTATTATCATTTTTTGTGTATATTATTATTCTTATTTTTTAAAAAGTATATTAAATATCTTTACTATTTATATGATTATAATAAAAAATAAATACTTAAACAAAATCAATTAAATAAAAGTGATAACAAAAACACACACAACTCACTGTCGTTGGTCATCTAAAGTTGATAAACTTAATGACACATATTTTGTCATGAAGCTATCATGTAATAAACTTGTGTAATGAAAATATGAATAGATATCTGACATAAATTAAAATAATATCAGTTAGCTCTTTGTTAATAGAAATTATCTATTACCGTTAACCAAACGAGATTGCCTTTGTTGCGATCTAAAGCCCAAGCATAGCCACTTTTCTGGACAGCAACAACAAGATCTTTCTTGGTGCCATTTACATATGTAGTCAACATCATTGGTGCTTCACCAAAATCAGCATCTGGGGAAGGACCTTCAGGAGGACAATTAGGAGTTGAAGCGTTGATGCATGCACCGAACCACACATCATAGCCTCCTAACTGGTGATACCATTTGATACTCCCAGAGTCCAAATCAAGGGCCAAGATTGAATTTGAGTGGTTGTCTGGTTCAACACACTCATCTGGTTCAGTAGGCTTAGTTCCATTTTTTTGTTTTTCTTGACATTGGATTATGCGTGATGGGGCAGAATACAAGTTCCCAGTGGCTATATAGACATGGTTTCTATAGGCATCAATGGAGGGGCTACTTCCCCAAATGCCAGCTCCTGCATATTCTCCTCTCTTGTTATTGTTATCTGGTAACACATAGGTCTTCCATAAGATGGCACCAGATCGAGCATCAAGTTTTGCAAAGCTTCCACGAAATATGCAACATTGCTCAATGGTTGCACCTTCTTCTAGTGAAGATGTTCCTACATAGTAACCTCTGTGGAGAGTTCAATACAATGCACCAGCGGCAATTAGGTCAAAACAAGTGACTCAAAAACCACAAAACGCAGTTTTTTAAGTGATGCTATTACTGTTATCTTTCAAAATTTAAATTTTATCTTAATAATTTGTGATAATATTGAATATAAATATTTTATTAAATTAAAACAAATTTTAATAATTAACAATCAGCTGTACCAACAGCATCTAAATAAAAGCATACAAATTTTTAATTTCCTTTAGAAAACAGTTGAAAAAAAAAATTAGATGAGAATGTATGCATTAGTCCAACTTTCCAAGGTAGGTGGAACTAGAATTCGTATTCTTGAAGCGACTATCTAGCCATAAGCTTATGTACAAAGTGCTAAAGAATTTATCATTAATTGGTTTGTATGCTTAGTTATAACAATTGTGAACAAAAAATTATTTTTTCACTTTCCAGAAAAAGTGTGAAATGAGGGAAGAGATAAAAAAAAAAAAAAAACAGGTAAAGTGAGTGATTAATATATACTGATGGATGATACGATAAGTAAATAAGAGAGAAAAAAAATATGTTGAATGAATATTAAAAATATTAAAAATTAATTTATGAATTTGGATGCAGGGAGCAAATAGTTATAGGCAATTTTTTTTTTATGTTTTGTTTTACAATGTGTATGTGTGAATTTAAAACTTCTGAATGTAATAACTACGTTGGATGTCGCTACATTATAGTCCAAGATCCAGGATATAAAAGTGATTTGGATATTTTTAGCGGTCCTATCTACGGAATATGAGATATCTAATGTTCAATTTATATTTAGTGGTTATGAAAGATCAGAACACCTTTATAATTGGTCAATCTTACATCTTAAAATGACGAATATAATTTGGTCAATGACTCAATGTATTGCTACAGACACGAGCTCTATAATGCATTTAAATCAGATATAAAAGCCACCTTATTATGTGGCAAACAACTGTGTATTATTACTTGTCCGTTCTTGTGTTTTATTATTATAAATGTTATCATTTTGCTAAGGGAAAGTTTGTGACGTCCCTTCATTCTTTTCTTTGTATCCTTTTTAAGTGATTAATTTGTCAAAGTCACTGATATGCACAAAAGAAAAATAAAAGGGGGACAATCTGACCCATGAATAACTTAAGCATGTTACTTTCTTCATATAATATATAAAGGATTGAAATCACCTGCTTCCTTTTAACGTTTTTAGTATGATATTATTTTCTTATAGGTCTATTATGGTACATTTTTTAAAAAATTTATTTATTTTGTTAGCATATCATTTATTACATGTCTTACTTTCTCTTTTATTCCTCTTTTCTCCTTACTTATTTTAATTTACATCGATCCTATACGGGTGTTTCTGTCATTTAATTGGAGTGAGAAGAAAAAAAAAATTGATAGAAAGGCAGCTTTACTAATCCATATCATAGAAGACATTGTAAAAATTATCATTTATTAATAATTTAATATTAAATTAAATTATTAGTATTGATATTGTAGATTTGTACTAACAATATAATATAATATAATATATCAATAAATTATTTTATTAATAAAAATAATACATATTAACAATATATTAAATATTAATATAATACATTATTTGTTAGTATAAATTTTAAAATTTATACTGATAATTTTTTTTACTAGACAAAAATTATATTAATAAAGAGATCTGTAGAGGCACTAAGCTCATTTGCAGATTTGAACAAGAAATCAGAAAGGTTCTAAGGAAATTAATTTGGCATAGAGAATCAGAAATGTGCAATAGTACTTAATTACCCGTTATAATATGTTCCAGACATGGTGATGACTGCTGCAGGATGGTGATCCAAAGTGGTGTTCCACATAAGTTCACCACTTGTTCTTTTGAGAGCAATAACCATAGCAGGACCATAGGTTCCAATTATCAACAAATCCCCAGCAACAGTGGGTGTTGACCTTGACACTGTCCAATTTACATTCAAAACAAACCCACTTGCATTTAGACCTGTTAGTTGGTGCAAGTTCTGCTTCCAAACAAGGGATCCATCGCCTTCTTTAATTGCATAGATGTTACCATTCCAACTTGGAAAATAAAGGGTACCATTATATATGGCTGGTGTTGCAGTGATATCTTTGCCTGCATAGAATTTCCATTTCAGATGTAGGTTCGGTGCTGTTATTGGGCTGATCTTATTCTCTTTGTAAGCGTATCTTCTGTTCCACAAATCTCCACCGTGGTTTAACCAGTCTTCTGATTGTTGTGGAAGCCCCTAAAAACAAAGAAACCAATTAGATTAATTTTAATTCATTAGAGTAATGCTTAAAACTATATATAATTATATATATTCGCTATAGCAAATGTTAGAGTGGGAATTAATATATCATACATATGATCCTGCAGCAAAGACTACTACCGCATGAACACAAAACAGAAGTAAACAAAGATCTATGTACATGTTGTGTTTAGGTGGTGGCATGGCAATTGCGAAGATGTTAATTTGTTTGGGAAGCTTATTGCAGAGACTCACATATATATAGAAAAAAAAAAAAAAAAAACAAAGTAAGCATGGGGACAGTCTGATCTCAAAATCTGACTTTGAATTTATTAAAACATATTAAAATAATGGGAGCATTATTTTTATTTTTAATAATATTATTCGTACCATCTTGATTCCTTTATGTGAGTTTATTAGTTATTTTATTTTCATTTTTCTTGTCTAAAGGAACAAAAAGTCATACCCAAGAACTATGTAAATAAAATTATATAAAAACGATTATAACGGAAGTGACATTCTAGATCGATATAAATAGAAATCAAATTATTTTTATTATTTTGAATTTAAAAAAAATTAAACTTGTATAAGATATAAAAAGGTCAATTCTATCCTTCTTATTTTCCATGATCATTTTATGTAAACTGTGTAAGAAGTTTTAAATAAAATAAACATCACTTTTATTGTTTGAAAATCATTTCCCGACCCAAATCGTTTCTTCCTTCGAGTTTAGTCAACGTTCCATTCTCATAACGTAAACTTTTATGGGGTGACAACTACTCATCTCAATAAAAAGTTTTAGTGCGAATTGATACATAACTTTATGAAATGCTTAACGTATCTTGCGGAAAAATGCAACCTCTACACATAAAACTAACATAAATCACATGTCTGGAAGTGCACTGTGGATATCTTATTTATATATGATAAATCAATTATGTCAAAGTTGATGTACGCATTGTAAAGCGAAGTCAAAGAAGCGTTATGATTTTGGAAGAATGGATGGTGATATATATATAATATATAGTTTTTCTTGATTTAACATTTTGAAATTAAAAATAAACACTTACCAAATATTAAATTTATAATAAATAGCACAGAAAATTAAGATTTGTCTATTTAGGATAAATAATGTGTAAAAACCTTTATATTTGGATTTCAGTTCATAAGCTTCATCAACCAGTGTCTTAAAATTTATCATGCTTATGGGATTCCAACCAAATCTGCCTGCAATATCTAACAAGCATACTTCCTTAAGTTCGGTGTCATTTTGGAAAAATAAAATACATCTCTGCATTAGCAATATATTAGGCTTAGTGGCGTACTAATATATTAAAATTAAAATAAATCATTATAGAAAATTTTAAAATGAATTATTTTTGCTAAGAATTTTTACAAGAAAGAATACAAGGGGCGTTAAAATAAAGATCAAATTTTAACTGAGGTTTTATGTTAATGTCTATTAAAGGAAACACCACTAAGTATATACCACACCGATATCTGTACAATTTTTTTAATGTAGGCTGAATACCATATAATATTATATTACAAAAATTAAGAAAAATTTGTATAGGTTACAAAAAAGAATAAGTAAATTTTCATTTAATTATAACCTATTTGAGTGTATTTTTTATTTGTACCAGAGTGTAATTTATCTCTTTTCTATTTTTTTGGTCCAGATAATTTATCTTTTTATTTATACTATTTTCGATGGGACTACGATATAACTAAAAGAGCCTAAAAAAATTGAAAATAAATGTTGCTCTCGGAGGCCCAGCCCAATATAACCGGATCACGAACGACGTCGTAGTGAAGCAAAAATCAAGAACAGTGGCTGCGTTCTGCAAAGCGCAGTTCCGGTGACCGAAACCCCTGAGATGGGTCATCTGAGCAAAGCTTCCAAAACCCTGAGGCAATCAAATTACCCCTCGTTATTTTGCAATTTCAATTTGAATCCATTAACTGAAAGAATAACCCACCAACGTTTTTCAGTGATGTTCTGTTCCCAGTTACGCCAAAACAGCACCAGAGAGAAATTGCACTGAATCAGAACCACACTCATCACAACAATGCTGGCACTCATTTTCAGATTGAATCAGAACCACACTCAAATCCCCTACAAGACAACCTCGTACATACCATGTTCCACCACTTTCAAGTTCTGCTCTCAACCAGAATCACGTTCCCATGTCACAATTAACGTTGACACACTCACCAGAATCATCAACGAGCACCCTTTCCCGCACCAACCCCTTCACCCCACACTCCTCCACCACCTCCCTCCTTCCACCATCTCCACTTCCCTTGTTGAAAACGTTCTTGGATGCTTGTTTGCTTCACATTCCAATGGCCTCAAGGCATTGGAATTCTTCAACTACTCCCTCAACCATTCCCACAACCCCCCAAGTACTGTTTCTCTCAACATGACCCTCCACATCCTCACCAGGATGCGCTATTTTGACAAAGCTTGGACCTTGTTGAAAGACATTTCAAGGACGCACCCTTCTTTGCTTACCCTCAAGTCAATGAGCATTGTGCTCTCCAAAATTGCCAAGTTCCAATCTTTTGAGGATACCCTTGATGCGTTTAGAAGGATGGAGGATGAGGTGTTTGTTGGTATGGTGTTTGGTACTGATGAGTTCAATGTGCTTCTTAAAGCATTTTGCACACAGAGGCAGATGAAGGAAGCGAGGTCTGTGTTCGTGAAGATGGTGCCGCGGTTTAGTCCCAATACTAAGACCATGAATATTCTGCTCTTGGGTTTCAAAGATTCAGGTGATGTTACTTCTGTTGAGCTTTTCTATCATGAAATGGTTAGGCGTGGTTTTAGTCCTGATGGTGTGACTTATAATATTAGGATTGATGCTTACTGTAAGAAAGGTTGTTTTGGTGATGCGTTGAGACTTTTGGAGGAGATGGAGTGTAGGAACTTTGCCCCTACTATTGAAACTGTAACTACTTTGATTCATGGAGCAGGGTTGGTTCAAAATAAAGGCAAGGCGTGGCAATTATTCAATGAGATTACGTCGAGGAACTTGGTTGCCGATACCGGTGCTTATAATGCTTTAATTGCTGCTTTGGTTAGAACTAAAGATATTGAGTCTGCACTTTCCTTGATGGACGAGATGGTTGACAAACACATTGAGCTTGATAGTGTAACTTATCATACAGTGTTCTTAGGGTTGATGAGATCAAGAGGGATTGAAGGTGTAAGTGAGCTTTACCAGAAGATGACTCAGAGGAATTTTGTTCTGAAAACAAGGACGGTTGTGATGCTGATGAAGTTTTTCTGTCAAAATTATCGGCTAGATTTAGGTGTATGTTTATGGAAGTACCTGGTGGAGAAAGGTTGTTGTCCTCATGCTCATGCTTTAGATCTTTTGGTCACTGGATTATGCTCTAGGGGCTTGGTGCAAGAAGCTTTTGAGTGCTCCAAACAAATGTTGGAGAGAGGAAGACATATGAGTTCTGCAGCATTTCTAATGTTGGAGAGGTTTTTGCTGCAGACAGGTAACATGGACAAGTTGAAGGAGCTTGACCTGATGATTAAAAAATTGCGAAGTGTCTTACCACCTTCTAGAGGACATGCTACTGGTATTTCTACCTCCAGGGTTACAATATTCAAATAAATTACTGCTACCTGATTTTGGAGGATTTTTCCTTTCTAATATAACATGTACATTTCTTTGAATTGCAGTTGAAGGATTTATAGTTTGTTAATTGATTTCAAAGTCTTAAAAAGAAATTTGTTGATTAAAATCATGTATATCTTTTTAAGTTTACTTATCCTCAGTTAATTTTCTTGGAAGCTCTGTAAAATATCAATATTCTTAATACCCAAGCATTGATATTAAAGCCTTTACTACAATTCAAGCAATAAATAGCTACTTCAATATATCCCAAGCCACAACATTAACATGGTAGCATTTAAGCAAGCACCTAAAATTTTATAATCAGCTGGGGGGCAGTCCAATTTGTATGGGCCATTGGTAGATGGAGGATAATTGGATGAAGGTAGATTCTACTTTCTTATTCAATTGTTATTAATTTTGAGCAAGCGATTTGAAGTTCAACCTGATCATTACTGATCTTGTAATGATTGAGTTGAGTTTTAGCTAATGTATTGATATTTGCTGCACTTCTGCATACTCCTTGTTTCAAGGCAAAAGGGCATTTGTCTGTCATGTTTGTCAGAGATATACTTGAGCTTTCAACCAATACTTAAAAATGTTCTTAGGTTCAACAGCTTTTGATATGATTAGTGGCTGGACCTGCCAGCCAATATGATCATATGGTGAGATGTCTTATAATCACATCTATTTTAGTTTGTAATTCCATTAGCTGTTATTAAAGTTTAAAGCCTGTGTAATATCATCATGATCATCAATTCTTTGTTTTTGCAGCATTGTTAGTAGAGACTGTCAGGATAAAGGTTCAGAGGTTAGTGAGTTTCATATGGAATTTGAAATTTGAAATTTGTACCCAGAGTATGATCGTACAATGAGGGTTTTTCCTTCATGGAACCAAAAGCTATCAGCCATGAAACATTAAGTTCATATACTGCCACACTATTTACACATTACCATACTGATAATTTAGTATGGTCTTTGCTTGTTCAAATTTTACCACAGGGTAATAATTTGGTGGTTTGCCCCTTTTTGGATACTAAAGAAATTAAAAAATAAGCTCACGTTGCTTGAGTTTGAATCCAATTCATAGTAATGTTGTTAAACTTATTTTGTTCAATAATTTTTTACGAACAATGAATTCTATCTATCTAACCCTTCCATTGATTGTGTTCATAACATAAACTCTGTAAAATTTTATATAATTTAAAGTTACAAGTAAATAGTAGTTATAAAATTTCATTTATATAAATATATATATTTGAGAGCTAGAAAAGTAATTTAGTAGTCTTAAAATATGTTACTAATTTCTTTCCGGTTCTCTCGCCAATAAGGGGAGAAACAAAAATTGTAAGCCAAGTTTTCTTTTTCCTGCCTCTACAATCTTGTGGAACCAAACAAGTGTAAATGACTTTGGACATCATGTTTTCTCTCTGCTCAATCTCGCTCATTGTGTTTTTCCTATACATCAAAAAATAAAGTAGAAAAATAACATAGCAAGACTAAACACTACCAAATTCTCTTCGAGTAAGATTTTGTGGTATGAAAAAAAAAAAATCACTAAAAGAAATAGTCGTCCTTATTATAGTATAAATATTCTTGGTTGAAATACAATCTTCCATTGAAAATACTTGTGCTTTAGGTTGAAAAAAAAAACTAACATGCATCACTCTCATCATACCAAATGAGCAATTATTGGATGATTACGACCACTCATATTTTGTCATGTGTCAATTTTTTTTGTAAATTATAAAATTTATATATATGACATAATATAATTGACGAGTATCATGTGGTTCTGCACAATACAAAACTTTCTCCATATCCAAACAAATATCACTGGAGTAGCTTCCCCATCTAGTCTACACTTGAGCTTGCTTCCCTGTATTTGTGCTCCACAACTGCAATCCATTTTTTGGCCAAAACCATCTGAATGTGATAGACAATGCACACATATTTGCGATTCTCATTCACTGCATGTAAACTAGATTCACCGCTAATTGGGCATTAGAATTACAAATCAACTACACCATATTCCTAAGTCAAAACTAAGCCTCTTAGGATAGCCATTAATTCAGAATCAGCATGGAAATTTGTAGTTAAACCAATGAATACAATGAAATGGAATGAAATTGAATTGATAAATATTACTTCATTGTTTAGATACGCTATATAATAATATTGATTTCTTTATATACTTCATAAATTGAGAAGAAGAAAAAGTAGGGAGAATGGAAGGAATGAGACGGAATCTATTCCATTATTATCATTCTATTCCATTTAGATTTTAATAATTCAAACAGTGGAACATTATAAAATACTAATCTATTCTATCTCATCCCACTCCTTAACCTCAGCACAGACATAGCCTTTAATTCTAAACGTAATGTATGTATACTTGGCGTAGCTTTTTCACAAGGTTAATTAAGGGGCTTTTATTTAAACTTTTTAAAAATTGTCTGTTTAATTGAGATATGTATTTAAAAATTTGATATTAGTCATGTAATTTATTTGTAAAATAATAATAATAATAATAATATCTTGTTAATAAATTTTAAAAAATTATATCTCAGAATCACTTTTCACTCGTAAACAAACAGGCCCAACAATGCCACTTGGAGCAAACATAACCCTAATGTCCGTTTAAGCTGGATTCAAAGACGACGTCGTACTGAAGCAAATCAAGCACATTTCGTTCTGCTATGGTTGCACCCGCGTTCTGCATAGCGCAGTTTCAGACTAGGGTGACCGAAGCCTAAAAGCCCTGAAATGGGTTATCTTAGCAAAGCTTCTAAGACACTGAGGCAATCAAATTATCTGTCTTTGTTGCGCAATTTCAATTCCAATTTCAATCCATTAATCAACAGAATAACCCATCAACGCCATGCACTGTTCTGTTCCCAGTCACGCCAAAACAGCTCCAAAGAGAAAAGCACCATAGATTTGAATCAGTATCCCCCAGAACTCGTCAGAAACTTCTCAATAATTGCACATGTAGATCATGGAAAGTCCACTCTCGCTGATCGCCTTCTAGAACTCACTGGAACCATTAAGAAAGGCCATGGCCAGCCTCAGTATCTTGATAAATTGCAGGTACTCTATGTTGTTGAAAATTTTCAATCTTTTCATCTGGGTATGACCATTTTCATTGTTATATGAACTGGGTATTGTAAAAAATTGCTTCTTGTTTCAGAAGTGTAGGGTTAACTAGGACGTAGAATGACAATGATCGAGTGTAATGTTATATTTCTTGATTTTAACGTCATGTGTGGCATAGTTGTTGAAGTTTGTTTAAAAATGTCTTAGGTGGAGAGGGAAAGGGGAATCACGGTTAAAGCACAGACAGCAACAATGTTCTATAAGCACAACATAGATGGTGGTGATGGAAAGGAGTCACCTAATTTTTTGTTGAATCTTATTGACACTCCTGGACATGTGGATTTTAGTTATGAAGTGTCAAGGTCACTAGCAGCGTGTCAGGGTGTGCTTTTGGTTGTTGATGCTGCTCAAGGAGTCCAAGCACAAACTGTTGCTAACTTTTACCTTGCCTTTGAGTCTAACCTAACAATTGTACCTGTTATCAACAAGATTGACCAGCCCACTGCTGATCCTGATCGTGTTAAAGCCCAATTGAAGTCGATGTTTGATCTTGACCCAAGTGATGCATTGTTGACATCTGCTAAAACTGGGCAGGGTCTTGAGAAAGTCCTTCCAGCAGTCATAGAGCGCATAGCTCCCCCTCCTGGGAGGAGCAGTTCTCCACTACGCATGCTTTTACTTGATTCATATTATGATGAATACAAAGGGGTAATATGCCATGTTGCCATTGTTGATGGTGTCTTGCGCAAGGGGGATAAGATTTCTTCTGCTGCTACTGGTCAGTCATATGAAGCTTTGGATATAGGCATCATGCATCCTGAACTTACTCCTACTGGAATCTTGCTTACCGGACAAGTTGGTTATGTTGTAAGTGGCATGCGGTCCACCAAAGAAGCTCGTGTTGGTGATACAATTTACCATACACGGAGTGCTGTAGAGCCTCTTCCAGGTATAGCTGTCATCTTTCACCTCCCATTTTCAAACATTGATTTTTTAACGTTTTGGCTGGAAACTGTAAAATCACTTGTCATCTACTATTCATTTACGATAGTTGGTTGTTAGACCCATGCTTGTAGGCTATTCATACTACTCTCTGCTGCATTGAATCTCTTGAATCATGTATACCTCATTCGCTTGCTACACTTGTAGGTACTATATAATGGACTTACTGAAAATAGAATGATTTCATTTCATTTCTAGGCCTTTATTATTTTTTTCTGTAAAAAGTATGTACCTAAATGATCAGCATATGTGATATTATGTTTGTTTTTTCCTTTCTCCATGTGTATCGAATTGTTTATAGTACATATGGGTGCATATCTTGGTCCTAAACGTCTTTTTTTCTTTTTCTTTTTTTTATAATTTCAAACTGTAGGCTTCAAGCCAGCAAAACATATGGTGTTCTCTGGTCTTTATCCAGCAGATGGATCTGATTTTGAAGCGCTAAACCATGCAATAGAGAGGCTGATGTGCAATGATGCCAGTGTTTCTATTACTAAAGAAACTAGCACTGCTCTTGGTCTGGGGTTCAGGTCTGGTATCTATTACTAAAAGAATGAATTGGGAATTCAGTTCTGCAAAAATTTGACATTTAGCTTCATCTGGAATAACGTGTGTTTCTTATCATGTTCAATCAGGTGTGGATTTTTAGGCCTTTTGCACATGGACGTTTTTCATCAACGGCTAGAACAGGTAAGATGTCCTTGTATGGAAACCAATTGATAACATTAAGCTGATGGTGAAGATATATTTTGCAATATAAAATGCCTTCAAAATTGTTAAACTTTATGTATGCTTCATAGGCATCATGAATATGATTTGTCTCGGATGCCCAACTTTTACATATGTATGGCATGTCTTTGGTAAATGCATATATTGTACTAAGAAGTAAGAACTTGAGTTTTGTTTTTTCCTGTTTTCAAGCATGATGAGTTGGTGACAAATATCATGTTGCTGTAAACAGGAGTATGGAGCTCATGTAATCTCAACTGTTCCTACTGTGCCTTATATATTCGAATATTCTGATGGAAGGTAGATAAAAAAGTTGTTTTTGTCAGGCTATGTTCCACTATGTTTTACTAATATTCTAGATGTGCATTTCAGCAAGTTAGAAGTTCAGAATCCTGCTTCATTACCCTCTAACCCCAAGCAACGAGTGACGGCTTGTTGGGAACCTACAGTAATAGCTACTATAATCATTCCTAGTGAGTAAGCTCTTGTACAACCCTGAGTATAACTTATTTGCTGCTTTCAGAGCCTGATATTTGCCATCTTATTTATTGGTGATTTAAGGTATGTGGGACCTGTTATTACCCTTGTCTCTGAGCGTAGGGGTCAGCAGTTGGAGCACTCATTCATTGACAGGTACAATTTTGCCTGTTTCCATTCGATTAATATATATATTGAAAAGTGATGTGATTTATTGGGATATTTTTGTCTGTGCATAAACTTATCGCTTACTGAAGCAATAAGTAATAATCCTTCAAGTTTCTCTCCTGCAGTCAACGGGTATTCATGAAGTACCGCATGCCTTTGAGGGAAATTGTCGTTGACTTTTATAATGAATTGAAGAGTATAACATCGGGCTATGCGTCGTTTGATTATGAGGACTCAGAGTAACTACCCTGGCCCCTTTTCTTCTCCCTATTGTTGTGCAACCACTTGTATTTGCCTTAGTGCATCGATAATATGCTGTGCTATGTGTATTTTGAAACAATGATCTGGTACATGTAAATGTAGATTTGTACAGAAAAATACCTAATGGATATACTGTACCCATACCCATCAACTTTTGTTTGAAAATTAATTTGTGATTTATTATATATTTATTGACTGTTATATGTTATCAAATATAAGAGAGTAAATTTGTATGTTTGAAGTGGCATGCTTCCTACTTTATAATGTATTAAATGGCTGCAATTACAGTTATCAGCTAGCTGATCTGGTGAAACTTGATGTTCTCTTGAATGGACAACCAGTTGATGCAATGGCAACCATTGTTCATAACATGAAAGCATACCGTGTTGGGCGTGAGTTGACAGAGAAATTGAAGAAAGTCATAGACAGGTCTTTTTATTTAAGAAATCATTTTATTTTTTCATGCCCTTTCTTTAGTTTGAACTCATCCCAAAAATTCTCGAAATTTGTTCAGGCAAATGTTTGAGATAACCATACAAGCTGCCATTGGGTCAAAAGTCATAGCAAGGGAGACGTAAGCTTCTGTTTAAAGCATTTGCTAATGTGTCTTTTGGGAATGGTTGCTGTAAAACCTTTAGCTAGAAATATGAATATAATAGTCTTGATCAGTATTGTAAATAGCTTGGTCATTTTGTTTCCAATAGACTTTTCATAGGTGGATTTTAAGGCCCCTAAGTAAAACGAAGGACCAAAAATTAAGCAATTTGTTCACATGCCATAATCATCTGCTGCCATGCTAAAGCCTTTTCACATTTTTGTAGGATTTCTGCTTTGAGGAAAAATGTGCTTGCCAAGTGTTATGGCGGTGATGTTACTCGAAAAAGGAAACTGTTGGAGAAGCAAAAGGAAGGAAAGAAGCGAATGAAACGTGTTGGTTCTGTTGATATACCCCAAGAAGCATTTCATGAACTATTGAAGGTTTCTTAGCAGACAAGTTTGATGATATGTGTGTATTGCACAATGGTAATACTTTCTTATTTTCCTTTTTCTTTTCCAATAATATTAATTTGCATCCAGCCATCTGCCGGTAGAAAGAATTGCACATGGACTAACCTGTCCACTCTTACTGTCTTAGATCTAAAGTCGAAGTATCAAACTTAATATTTGACTACAAAGCACACCTATTATGGTAAAAAAAAAAAAAAAAAAATTGAACCTAAATTATAGGTGAAGTTTTTACTCTGATTTCTATAGGAGGAAGATTTATTTCTTGTCCTTCTTTGGGTTTGTTTATTAAATCGAGAAAGGGTTAAATTTAATATTCTTTTTGTTCCTCAAAATATACTGCATTTTGATTTTTGTCTCTACAAAATTATTATTCTTTTATTTAAGTTCCTACATTTTTTAAATTTATAGATTTTGGTCTCTCTAATTAATGTGTCTCTACAAAAAAGCGACACGTTAAAAATCGGCACATGGCAACGTATCAGTTAACCACATCATCATTCACTAGAGTCTAGGGACCAAAACTAAAAATTTTCAAAAATGTAGGGATTTTATAAGGACTAAAATCAAAATGAGGGATATTTGAAGGACCAAAAACATGTTTAAGGAATCTTGAAATTATACATCTGTTTGGATGAAAGCTGCATGTGTGATTGCTGATTTGTTATTTTTGGGATTTAGCCTTAAGGAATAGCTGCCTGTAAATCCAGCTTTAGCTTTGTGATATGGTTTATTATTTCTTTGCTTGAAAATTTCTCTTTGCACGAATATAGTTTGAAATTCAAGCCTAGTTATCAATGTTTTGATTTGATGACCATCCTTGGTTGTATTTATGTGAAAATTCTGTGCTGGAAGTTCAATTACATTCATTCCCACGATATAATGTTTACGTACTAACTGAATTTCCTTATTTTTTTCTGTTTGTTTATGTAGGTGCCTGACCGAAATTGAATGCTGTGGAATTTGCCAAGTTGAAAGGGCTAAAAACAATAAAAGAGGAATATGAGAAAGCTATTAACTCCGCTGGCTTATTCGTTGATAAATGGAAATAACAAATTTTCTTTGTAACATTGTTTAATCCGTATTCTTCCATTTACTGATGTTATTATATGTTAGAAACTGTTGTTTTCTTTCTGACAAGGTCGATGAAAATGAATTGTCGTCGAATACTTCATTGATCTCAGCTACGATTTTTTGTACAGAAGATGGATATGTTCCCATTTTTCCAATTCAATCAACATATATGGCAACAACTCCAAAATTCTCTTAACTCCTGCATCCTGTCAATACCGTCCATGAAGAATAGATTCCATAAAAAAAGAGAAATTATGATAATCTCTGGGGTCAAATATAAAATATTCAATTGTCTTTCTTGACTGTATAATTGGATCCTTGATATTACTTAATCTTAAAATACTGTAAGTCAAAATCTAGACGAAATAAATTGGTTCCGTTTCAATTACTTATATTATCTGTTTTTTTATGTAATCCACATAATTGCAAGTTATCAACGTGATTACCTGTTCATTCCAATCATACGGACACTTACATGGAAATTGGTTTTAGTTGTTTCGGACTTTCAGCTACTACTTACATTACTAATGCTATGCAACCCTGTACCTGGAATGAGATTTCAGGGTCTTTTTTTCCTGCAAAATTATAATTTTTGTCCTCTAGCTTCTACACTTCTTTTGTTTAATCTCTTAACTTTTGAAGATTTTAATTTGGTTCTCTAACTTCTAAAAAATTTAAATAAATCAATTTTTCATTAAAAATGTTAAATATCATTGTTCATCTTCTTCTCCTCACTTTTTATTTGTCTTTTTTTTATCTCTATTTTTCTTTCTTTGCTGTTGTCACCACAAAAAATTTTATCACGAACTGCTTACCTCCTATTTAGTCACTAGAATGACTCATTAAAAAATGTTTCAAATTGGAATATGCTTCATTGCACCTTTGCCCTAATTAAGTTTAATTAACATGATGCCCATTTTTTTCAACAACGTTGTCATTATCTTTTGTTTGTTTTTTTGAAAATCTCACCAGGAGGAAGAAGAAAAGGAGTAAGAAAAGCAAAAAGAGAGAGAGGAAGAAGTGGAAAAAAGAAAAAAAGTTGCAAATCTAAGAAAGAAGATAAATAGTGCACATACAAAAAAAAAAAACACAAAATTTAATAGAATTAATGGTTTTTAACAAAATGAGACTTAATTGAAACACTTTTAAAAATGATTTTGTCACATTATAAACCTCCCATGCATTGTATCAAGCATATAGTTTCCTTCTCTCAAAATATAATTAGGATCACAATAAATCTTTTTTTTTTCCTAACATATACAAGTTTCTAACATGAATTATTCTAAAAAATACAACTTAGAGAACATTATTCTACATTTACATTAAAATTATTTCTAATGGTAAAAGACTCAATTTCATATTAACATTGAATGTCATCTAACATATTTAAAATAATTGCTGAATTCACCTTTCATGATATAGACATGTTATTGAACAAAAAAAATACATAACAATTTTTTTAATGACCACAAAACGATATAAAAGCTTATAAGTAGATAATATTAACTTATATAAAGGGATGCATGCATTGCCAACTGCACTTGTAGTAATTTCTGTAATTGGTTGTCTATTGAGTCTGAGCAGTTGCTCGAGTGTTAGAAAAATGACATGGAATAACTAGATTGTAGAGGGTGAGAACATTGATTTCTAGCTGTACTTCATCTTGTTCTAACTATAATCTTTTGTTTAAGGGTCCTAGTTTGACATGAAATAACAGGACCATTGAACCTAGCTAGGCCGCGAGGGGGGAGAGGATTCTCTCCATTTATTGGATGAATGCAATATGATAGAGAAAGATAAGTGCATTTAGTAGGTAACAAAGAGGAGCTTTTTGGACACGCCACAAAATGCACATGTCTTTCTCTCTTCTACTATATTCATCCAGTATTAGAGGAGTTTTTTCCAGCTATGACAAAGAGAAAGAGAAAGAGAAAAATAATGATACGTGTCTTTATTTCTGTAGCATAATGGCTGAACTGATTTGTGCTACTTTTTGGAGAGAGAAAATGGCAATGGTGGTTGGAGAAAAATGAAATTTCCTGCCTCAGAACTTGAAGAAGACAACCTTTTGAAGTAATCAGTCAAACACCCTTTTCCATTCTGGTTCAAGGGATTGAGAGAACCCAATTGCAGATTCTCCCCCAATTTTAAGTTCAAACCTGAACCTAAAACCTTCTCTAATCCTTCTTGGTTTCCACTGTTTGATCCTTGTCCCACAATTGATGAAACTGCAGCAGTTATCACTGAGCGAAGACTTGGGTCTGTGTTGATTGCTTGGGCTATTGTTTCTGCCAAAGCTTCCTTGGAAGGAGTTTGGTTTGTTATGCATTGTTGAAAAAAGTGTTCCTGGAAATGGTTTCCTTGGATAACTTGCCTTGTGTGGATTTTGTCAGTTGGTGTAGTGGTAGTGCCATTATTAGGGAACCCTTTACCCCAATTGGATGGTATGAAGTTAGGCTCTGAGGAACAAAAGTTGAGACTAGTTGGTGAAAATAATCTTGGGTTTGAAATTGAAGGTAAGTGATGAGCATGAGTTAATGAGGAGGATGAAGTAAGATCTAGAGTGATTGTTGGGAACAAGTGTGATGAGGCATGGTTTGGTGGATAGAAGACTTGTTTGGCTCTTGATTCACCAAAATGCTGACTAAAATTTAGACCATTGAATTGTGTAGTAGGGGCATTTCCAAAAGAGGCAAAACTTTGACATGTAGGGTGAGATGTTGAAGAACCTGACAACAACATGGAAGCAGCAGCAGAAGTTGTGGAAGCCATGGCTGTGGCTGAAACTGGAAGTGGGTGGTTGTGTGTTCCTTCATATGTGGTGATTAAGATGGACAAGTCCTCAGCACATCTTTGCACCTGAAATCATTCATGCATTAAATTTGGGTTATTCTTATTCAATATGTAGGAAACAACTTCAAATACAAAACAACTATATTAGTATGAGAAATATTTTGTGTATCATTTTTTGGAGATAAATTTAATAATATGATTGGATGAAATAAAAAATAAGTTGAAAGAAAATAATTAAAATAGAAAATGATAAGAAAGAAATATATGAAAAGATGTGTTTGAATTAATATAGAAGAAAATAAGGGAGAAAGAGGTGAGAGATTTTTCTTTACTTGTTTGGATGAATAAAAAAGAGAATAAAAAATAGTAGTTTATATTTAAAATATTTTTATAAAAAAATAAAAAATTTGTTTAAAAAATTAATATAATATTTTCTCTTAATTATGTACTTTTTTATATGTCTAAATATAAAATTAGAAATAATTTTATATAATATTAATTTTTAATAACTTAAATAACAACTATTTTAATACAAGGCTTGTAGTTATATACCCGTTTCCTTACTGGGCATGTTGGTGCAACAGTGCAACGATAATATGCCCTTGGACATGGATTTCCCTTCGATATTTTCTGTCCATATTTCCTCCATTGACACCCATCATTCATCTGTTTGAAAGAATACCACTGGCTATTAGACAAGTAAAAACTACAAAAACAATTAAAATCCCTTGGAATATGAGAATGAATGAAAATATAATTATGGACACGTTTAATTTGAAAAGATGCTTTGAGTCTAATTTTTTACTTTTTAAATAATTAAAAAATGTCACTTTATTTAATTTAATGGTATTTATATTTTCAAAAAATTATAAAAGAAATGGGAAAACAAATCATGAAAAATAGAATAAAAATAAGATAATATTTTTATAATTATTCATGAAAACAAAAAAGTTATCTCAAACTAAAAATGTGATAATTCTGCATTGATACTAACCGTGGGAGTATCACACCTAGCTCTCACGGATACCCTGGCTCTCTTGGCAGGCATTTGATCTGAAATGTCATTATTTACATTTATCAATTTTGCTGATTTATCTGTTGACAATGTTCCCTCAGCTTCTGATTCCTTTGGTTCTTCTGAGCTGTTCATGGGACTCAAATCAGACACCATCCCCATGTCCATTGACAACACATGTTTGGCGTCTAATCCAAGAGTAAGGTTGGCTTCCACATCTTTTTCTTTTGGTTTGTTTGAGTTTCCAATTCTCACTTCCTTCTTAGGCTCCTTTGGACTTCTTCCAAGGCAAAGTGACACAAACTCAGGTTCTTCAGTTTCATCATGAGAAGCAGATGAATCATTCACACCCGTTTTTGAAACTTCTTTGTTAAGGATGTCAAAGAAACGAAGTTGAAGGGAGTGGTAGTCCTTTTCTACTCGCTCCAACATCATCTTCAATCTCTCATTTTCTTCCTTCACCTCACCCATCTCAGTTTTAGCATCTTTGAGTTTATCTTCCTATATATATATTTCAAAATAATATGAAGAGCAATAGTTAGCCATTTTATTATTTCATAAATTTAAAATTGGAAGAAAATGTTTTGTTTTATTGTTTACTTAATTAGCCATATTTTTCATGCCAAACTACAGTGTGGTCACTCAATATCCTCTAGTGATGATTGATCATTCGAAACCCAAACTACATGTGCATATTATATATGACCAAAACTGCTTGAGCAACTTGCTTCAATAATTTAATTCAGTGAACATAGAAACCAAATTTCTTATTATAAGTTACATGGGGAAAAAAGAGGTAGAAGTGATCACAGGGGAAGAAAGTATCATATATACATTAGTTGTGCATTACATGAACTACAATCTTTCTATGTTTATTATCTAATTCTCTGTAAACAAAATTTTAATTGAATGATTCATATGATGATAGAAAACAAAGGCAACCTGAGCAACACCAAACTGGGGAAAAAACACTGAATTAAAGTTGGAAATTCGTTTTCCCTTGTTTTATATTTGGCACACAATATATTAAGAAACTAATGAGCATAAGATAAAAGAAAATTAAATTCAGAAACAGTGGTTGCACAAGAAGAAAGAATTGGGAAGGCAAGGGTTTGGCGTGTACCTTTCTAACCTCTTGAGTAATCAAATCATCTTCACTGCAAATGGAAGCAACTCTCTTCTCTTCAATCGCTAAACCACTAGAACTAGACTTTTTTGGCATGGCCTCCATTAATATTTCTCTAGTAGAGCTTCTTCAATCTCACATAACCCCAATATATATAAATGCCACATGTAACTCATACCCTCTTGTAAACCAATCAACTATGTGTTAGACACGGTTTAATTAAATTAATACAGATCCCAGAGCTATCTACCTCTCATTACGCAGCCAGCCCTCAAATGTCAACACCAATTGCTCAGACAATTTTTGGGATTTCTTTTTTATTATTGTTGTATAGTTAAATTAATTATAAATGATCTCCAAATCTAAGTCATAAATGAGGTTGAAAGGGAGAAGAAAGCTGAATTTTGGCTCTCAAATTGTGCATTACTTAATATTGTAGTTGAAACTTGGTACTGATTACTTAGAGGACGTCACGTGGCTATGCAATCAAATTTACCATGGCTGCGAGTGAGCTCCTCTGAATCGTAATTTGTCAATGGTGTAGCCTAATTTCATTGTCAAGTACGCGGTCCAAACGCTGGTTGTAAACTATTGCTCTGCTGTCCACTGCCATTGACCCGCTTTCTATGTATAAATATAATACATTGTCATGCAATGGATAATTAAATTAAATATACTATGGTCTTTTATATCATTTATGAACAAGTTGATTAAAAAATTTATACTGGTTATTGTGTTTTTTCATGCCTGTTTGTAATACATGCAATGTTTATTCTTATGAAAGAAATGTAGTAATAGAAACATGTCTAAGAGTTATTGCATCTAAATTAGATTGATGTCGTGTGTGTGTGTATATATATCTTAAATTACAAAAAAAATTGTGTGCCATCCTAGTTATTTAGAGGAGCATTTACATTCACTTCAATTTTATTTGGTACAATAGCAGTTTTCAATTTCATTGATAGCATAAAAAAAATATGGGTATTTAAGAATAAATTATTATTTATATCTCAAATAAAAAAAAGTTTGGAGTGTAAAAGGGTGTTCTAATGTTAATTGTTATTTTTATACTTAAAAAAATCAAGGCTTTATTATATAAATTATTGAGCATAAAATCACATGCTCATTTAAAGCCTGATCATACAATATTAAGAATAACTAAACTGGGCATTCAAAAGTTGCCAAACAAGGGTCACAGCATGATTGTTGAATTAGAGTATGAGTTTTCGGTCGTTAATTACTGTCACTGTTTCATTTTCAAACTGTAGTTTCCAATCAAACATCGTTGGTCTTTCGGTGGCTTACAAATAAACTACTTATTTACATTAATTTTTTTAAAATAACGTCCATGTTAGGTTAACTCAATGCTTTTAAAATTGTTATAAGCCCCAAAGCGTGTGTCTTGGGATCTGAGTATTACATATTACCCTTTTGTTGATTTAGATACGCTAAAAAATGTCATCCGTCTGAATTTTGGCTGATTTATAACATATTTAAAGAACTTGAATATGACTGTTGAATTATAAAACACATAATGGTGTCAATGTGATGATTAATTAATCCATGGTGTGTATGCATACATTCATACAGATACACATTGGTTAGCCATTAAGTAACTCAAAGAGCTTTAAGGCTTGATTAAATTTAAAATAAAAATAGAAAAACTTATATTCCATTTCCAAATTTATAATTGGCAACAACCAACCATGATTATTAACTTACTAGTGGCTTATGGCATTGGAATTTTTTTTTCTGTCAAATTTCGCACTATGGCAGGGTCACATTTTAACCCCTTAAATATTTCATCAATATATATAGGCATGGCATATTAATTGAGGCGACTCTTGGAACCCTGTAGGTTCATTGGAGGTCAAGTAATATGCACTTATGTATCAACTGTTTTACCGTTTCCATTATGCAGTTTTGAAATTTTATAGAAAGTCATTCAAAACCAACGGTCAAATGGTCAACAATATTACTGGTTGAAGGGTTAGCTAGCATGTAGAGAAATATTCTTTGAACACTTAAATGAACCCTTGTTTTTTAAAACACACACACACATATTAATAAACATATATGTGTACAAATAAACAATTGTGTATAATAATATCTCACATAATATTAATTTTTAGTAGTTTAAATAACGAAATTATATATATCATATGTATTATTGTGGTTTTCTTTTTTTCCAACTAGTCTAAGTATTTGTTGATTGTAGGCTTAATAATCTAACCTAACCCCTCCGTTCCAAGACTTGTGCGGTGCTTCAACTTGATGTTTGAAGAGTTACATGATCATGCAATTAGCTCTTATATAAAATTAATGAAATAATAGTATATGTTTCAAGAGACTTGGAAAGGAAATTTTGTATGGTTGTCGAATTGCGTCACTTTATAGAGACCGAAAGACTTTTCTTGGTAATTAATTGGGTAGCCAGCGACTTTAACGCAAGTTGAGTTTATTTTAAGGCAGTAGGTCAATGGTTTGGATTAGCCTTTGAATTGAATGACTAGCTGAACATGTGAGGTGGGTTCTTTGCATTTCCTCATTAAATATATGTCACCCTTTAATGTGTTTTCCTAATTGCAAATTCCAATGTTTCAAGTTATATAATTTTCATAAATTACTATAATATGATGCTTTATCCCTGCTCTCCAAAAACACCGATATGATCCATATACATATCTAACACGTGGTTTTATGATATTAAACAAAAATTCATCAATTAATACCACTGTCTATTAATTATCAAACAAAATGTTCAATTATACCATTGAACATCCAGATTATTGGGTGATTGATTTATTTTAACCTCAAATTTCAATGAATGTAACTAGGTTACTTTATTAATTCAATTATAAAATTAAAAGCATTCAATAGCTAAATTAATTAAGTTATAATTTAAAACTAATTTATTATTTCAACACTGCCTTATTTTAACGTATAATGTTATTAAAGTTAAATTAAAATTTTAACCCATACATGATCCCCGTTTTTATTTTTTAATCCAAACCTTCAGAAAAATATTTAATTTGCTTTTTATATGTGAAAATATTAACAAACCATTTCCTAGTTTCAATCATCCAATAATCTGGCTAAAGAATTATGTAATTTGGGGCTATAGCGTGTGTTAACTATTTGTGTTAAGTTAAACTTTTGGCCTTTATACGTAATTCTATTGTTATTTAGGTGCCATATGAATATGAGTTTCTAAATTAATTTATATTTACAAAATCATTTTGAGGAAGTACTTACCGTAGTTTTTTACAAAGTTTATCTAGACTTATATAAATAAGTTAAAATTCATAAAAATTATTTTTAGTTTATGTCAAAAAAATTTAGTGAAATTTATCAAAATAAACTCTTTTCAAGAAATTTCATTCTAAAAATTAACAAAAATTATCATTTGACAAAAGTTTGTTGAATATATATTTAAGCAAACCATTTACTTATACACATTCTTAATCTACTATAACCTTTACATCTCATATTTCTAAAGATTGAGCCTAAATTAGTATTGATCAATTCATGTTTAAATTCGAATGGGGATGCATTGGTATCATGTCTCTCAATGTAATAATGAAGTTGTTGAATAGGTGGACCATCCAAATTTAGTATGCTTTGTGATAATTGTCATTTTTATTCCGACATTCTATTTTAAATAAAATCAATTTACTAACAGCCTGTAGTTAAGTTTTCCCTTATTTCAAATTTTTATCCTAATAAAGTTATTTGTTAGGATAAAAATTTGAAATAGAACAAGAGACTAAGAAACTAGTATAAGAAGACATATTTAAAACTAAGAACAATAACAGCACACAAACTTGTTAAAAGGTTAAAAGTCTAAGGTTTAATGATGATAAAATGTGCTTTGTATGGTCAAAGGTTTGATGTTTTAAAGAGGGCCGCCGGCGTAAAGATATAAACACTAACATGTAAGCCCGAATACCAACAATGTATAAAACTCCCAAAAGACAACGTTCCTACCCAAATACCCAAAGCACGTTTGTTGCCATCCAAAAGTGACTCTAAAAAATAAAAAAAGTTCTGATCAACCAAAAAATTAAAATAAAATAACCTAGAAAAGAATAGTAAATCAAAGAAGTAAATCCAAATGTTATTTTATTTCATTTTAGTATTTTAGATATATGTATATTTTAAAAGGTACATTTGTTGTTAACCCACAACAAAACCAGAAATCATAATTAAACCGATTTATTAAACAATTAAACTAGAAATCAAAAGCTAGTGTTTTCACATTATTCAATAACTGGTATGGTTTTTAAAACATGCTACAGTACACTAGCCCAATTCACCAAATGTGACTTTTTTTGGCTTTAAATTAGGTAAATTAAAAGAAATGACTAATCCCTCTACAAGCAGAAGCACCAGTGTTAGATAATCAGCTCAATGCGAAGCACCTTCATTTTGGTATCATTTTCCGGTGCAAGCATCACTCTTGACCTTTCCTGTTTTGGGTATGTACATGATAACTGTAGGCCAAAAAACAGCACCAAGTGCTTCACTCGAGGACAAAAGGGGTGGCATCAAAGGGATAATAGATTGATAGACAATAGTCTACAGTAACATTTGACCTCAGCAACGGACCACAGGAACATGAAGATGTTGGGTGAGGAGACAACATTAGTTCTCCACAATCTTTGGGCCGCTGTACATTTTTACAACTACTTGAAAATTTTCAGGTTTCTCCCTCTCTTGAAGCCACTCATAAGCAGGTCTTTCCTCTTCTGGAATGGATATTCCATCACCTGAAATTTCTAAAAGGTTCAAATTAATCATTCTAGGTAAGAGAAATGAGCCCAAATAGTGCATGTATGCCATTATTTAAAGGGTGTTAAATATTATGGCTTAGTTTAAATAAGTACTAATAAAAAAGAAAATAAAGAGATAAATAAAAAAAATTAAAAGTCAAAATTAACTTTTACACCTTAACTTATGAAAATGATTTGATTCATTTTATTTTCATTTTCATGAGGGGACAAACTTTTTGATATTTGCTAAATGTGATGGTGTAAAATTATAAACTAATTAGTAGATAATATGAAATCCAAAACTCAGTACACCGCTCTGTAACAACCTTATCTTTATCTGGGTTGTTAGAAAAGATAAGGGTGCTGTTAACAAATGCCACAAGAGTACCGCTTAGTATTTGTCAACAGATATTAAACAAAATACCTGAAAATTTGGAAAAAGGGACATTATGGTAGTATGTGCAGTGCCTGCCATCAGGATCAGAGTACGGAGGACCAAGCACATCGAGAACTGCACAAGCTGTCACTGCGGTGAAGCAATGCATGTTACCCCCCTCAGTAGGATAAAGGATGGAGGGGTCACAAGGAGCCTTGAAATCAGCATCAACCTTAACCTTAGCTAACTGCATTTCAGGAGTCTGGGCTGCCATAGTTGGAACATGCCAATTATTTTTACTATATTATCAAGCATCTTAAACATAGATTCAATAAATACATATGCTCTTTAATAATATCCATCTTCCTTAAAAGCAATATGAGGATGGAAGAGAAATTGACAATATGAGGATGGAAGAGAAATTGACAATATGAGGATGGAAGATAAATTGATCTTAACCCAGGAAACTATCATCATTGTATAATGACTTAAAAATGAAACCACATGCTATATTTATCTTCTAAGTGATCAAACAAAAGCAGTCTCATGTTTGGGAGTTCTCTTGGGATTAACTCAATTGTATTGCTACTACATTAGTTTCATTTAAGATAATCTTCTGAGAAACATAAGTTAATTTTTATTTATAAGAAAATTTGAATTCATCTTACCTCCTTATTTTTTCACCTGTTCATGCTCTAGAAAAGAAGATCATCATTAAAACATTTAACGAAGGTAAAAATAGAGAGCGGGAACAAGAAAAGGAAACAGGTAATTTTTTAATTTTATGTATTAAGCTATTTTAATATGTGTCTTTGTACTGGATCACCAACATGAAGAAAAAGGGGAAACCTCCAAGCATGACAAAATATTATATTCTTCATTTTATCATATACAAATACAAGGGGTCTCACTGTACGAAAACACATAAATAAGGCACAGTGAATAGTAGGACAGAGAAAATATATAAAACAAGAAAATACTCACTTTGTGATGGTTTGATAACAGTAGGCATGTCAGGAGGCAAGTCAACAACCCAATCATAAGATTTGATGTGCATAGTTCCAAAAAGAAGCTTACTGAACACCGTCATTCCAGGGTGATTGTGAAGAGGAATAACTCCAGAAGGTGGCAAGCAAAATATTCCCATCTAAATTACATAAACAAAAAGTAAAAATATATATATATAAGAAATAGAAATTGCAATTACACACCAACACTCGTCATCATTTTAAGTCAGCTTAATCAATTACCGAGAATTTTTCACACTCATAAATGTGCAGGTATGTGATTTTTGGAGTTCTTCGAGGATTGTTTGTACTGAAATATGGCATTTCAGGCTTCAAGCCAATGTCTTCTGGTTTTATTGCACCTGCACAAGGACATGCCATATAAAATTAAAACCATTTTTCTAAGACATAGTTAGATAGTCCAATACAACGTTAAAAATGTAAAAATAAAAATATTTCTTATCCCAAAATTGTATATTTAATATATTTTTATAGTAATTTAAAATATATTTATTACTTCTTTCCCTACATCCTGCGTACACATTAAAAAATAAATGAAAAACGGAATTAACCAGAGGAAAATTAATTCTTGGCACATTCACTAGCAACAAAAGTGGTCAATGTCAACGAAGAATTACCCAAAACAAAAAAGGAAAAGAAAAGAAAAACCTCAATAGCTGTATCCAGTATCAGAGAGTGTCACGTCATCTTTGACATCCATGGACTAAACTCGCATTAAATAACGTGTTTTTTGTCCTTCACACATACCAAATTATTCCTTTATTTTTTGACAATCACCACCATCAAATTTATTTACCATATCCTTTATTCTTCTTAGCATTGATCATTATTTCCTTTCTATAAACCAGCTATACATGGCCCATCATCACGACAAGATATTTATATTAGGGGCATAATGCTTCCAAATCAAGACGTCCAATGAAAATGCAACACGAGGAGAGGAGAGAGAAGCACCGGTGTTTCACTTATTAGACAGTACTTGATTGACAATGATTAAATTGAGAAGTCTGTATTTATGTCTCGTTCATTTTAGAAAGTGGACTTGAAAAGATTTGACATCATATAGTAAGCGCAAAACGGTAATGTAAATAAATTTCTTGGGGAACATCTAGAACATGATAACAGGCACCTGACCAAAAAAATAAAAATAGCAATTGTGTAAATACACGCATGCATAAAAAACACAACATATCACAACCCAAGAAAGCACACAAAAATAGTACATATGAAAGAGCGCACACCCCACCATCCAAAAAACAATCTAAACAACATCTGCAGTGTAACGGATAACATCATGAGTTGGTACAAGCGGTTAGCTTAAGCAATTGTCTTGGGTCTTATTAACTTGCATCCTGAAGTTGAGTTAAGGAACATTTAATGCAATGATATTAAATGCTTTAAATTATTAAAAATATTTGAATAATTTTATATCTTTTTTTATTGAAACCAGTGCATAAGAAACTCATCGGCATTCTCCATTCAATTATAGAAATGGGAGACAAAAGCAAAGCAGGTATCCAAACAAAGTGATCAAGCGTCCCTATTAAAAACAACAAGAAATTCAATCAAATTCACATGTAGCTCAGCAGAACTAATCAGGGTATTTAAAATTATCCAAGAGAAACACTAACAAAAAAAACAAAAACTGAAACAAGAGAACATCCACGTGCGTAAGCGTAATTGTACCTAAAACAGAGCGAAGCATTTCAATGTGTTGAGGGGAAGGGATAAGCCCAGGGCCAGTAGAGGCAAACACTTGATTGCAAGTTTGAAACAGTCTCGGGCCAGGTGACATCTTCCTCTGACGATATCGCCGATTCTTCCTAGATTTGTTGTTTGTGTTCGTCTCTTCAGACAATTCACGAAACCCCCTCCCTTTCCTATCAGCCAAGTTCCTCCCAATCCCCATTTAAGCAATCCACCCTTAACAAACCCAGAAAATGAACACTATTGGAATGCAGAACACTCACACCCCAGAAGAAAAAGGGAGAACTTTCCAAGACAAACGGTTCTAATATGAGGAGACAATGGAATTATGGCAAACGGGTATGGAAGAGAAGTGTGAAAAATGCAGGAAAGAGGAACCCCCAGAGGACGCAGAACAGAGGAAAACAGGGGAAGGTTTATAAAGGGGGATAATAAATAATAATGAGATTCTAAGAGGGTTTAACAATTAACACGGGTAGAAGGGAGAAATGGAGAGCGTAAAAGAGTGAAAACAAGCATTGGCACAAAGTGAGAGAAAAGAATGAAATGATATTGATGTTGTGTTTGTATTGACGTGCTGATATAGAAGAGGCAGAGGAATGAATGCAAAGGAAAGAGAGAGAGAGAGAGAGAGAGAGAGAGTGGTTTGGGGAAGCAAAACTGAAAACCAGGGGCCAATGCTAAAGCATTCCAGTGGGCTATTCAAACAGCGGATTTTAATGTTCATCTGCTATCCTATAATCCACTTCACATCCTGCCACCACTCTTTTTTACTCTCTTTCCCCCTTATTTATGCCTCCTTTTGCTTTTACTCATCATGTCTAACTTCTGTCTAAAAATATATGATACAAAATTCTACATAATATTTTTATTAAATTTTATTGATTATATTAAATATTATACATTTAATTTAAATATTAAATTAAATATTTGGAGTTGAATTTTAAGTAATAAAAATAGTAAAATTAAAAAATGTTTATCATATTTTTATAATTTTATTGTAATTAATGTGTTACTTTAATAAAATTTTATTATTTTTAACTGCTTAAATTTAAAATTTTGAAAATTTATTATTTTTTTATTATGTATATTGAAATACGTGTTAATAAATGTCATTATTTATTATATAGTATTTAAGAAGATTATATGCTTGGAACAAATGTGCTTTAAATGCAAAATAAGTTAGGTTTGACTATTTGAGATGTGTAATCCGCATCTAGCATTTATTTTAAAACTCCAACTTCCTTTTGTAATTTAAAACAAGTATTCTATGTACAAAAAAAGTGTTCCCAGAATACTTGTTAAAAAGTACTATTTTTAATATATTTTATTATTAATTAAAAATTATTAAAAATTAACAATTACAAAAAATATTAATTTAAAAATAAAAATAAATTTTATCATTTTTTAAAACTAATTATATATGTAATAAAAAAATTTAATAATATTTTTTTTAAAAAAATTTAATTTAATTCTATAATCACAAAATATAAGATGATAAATTTTTTTATAATATAAATATAAGTATTTACGAAAAATATAGAGTTTATATAAAGTAATAAAAAATTAAAATATAAGTATTTATAAAAAAAATAATATAAGTAAAAAGAAAAATTAAATTACAATTTTTATTTTAAAAAATTAGAATAAAAAAAGTAAACTAGTTGTAATAAGAAAAAGTAAAATTTATATAAAGTTTCAACCAATTTAACCCTATACATCTGACTAATTGTAAACAAAATAACCTTCGATACTTTTTAAACAAAATTTTATTCTTCGTTACGGAGCAAAACAATTTTAAGAGGTATGATCATGAACAATTCTTTTTAAATAGTAAAAAATAACAGTCCACAAAAATTATAATTTCATTTTATTTTAAAAATTAGAGTTCCTTTTCCCAAGACTAAAATAAAACAATGCTATACTTTAGTTTCTTTTAATGCACAGCTACAATAATTTTTGTGATGTATATTTTTATTTATTGATTCATTAAACTATATTCTTAAGGTACAAGTCTCTTAATATAAATGAACCTCTTTGCCTTTGTGAGTAATTGCAAACAGTCTCCTAAAAGCATTTTTCTTCTATTCACAACTTATATTATCACTAGCAACTGATTTTGAGCATTGTATATTATTACTTCTAGAACTTTGAAATATAAAACACCATTTTGAATAATCATATTATCAGCTTTAAAACCTTATAATCTTCATTTCAACTTATTAAGTCTCAGAATTGATTGTAAAGGTTCAGAAAGAGCTATCAAAGATGCTGGGTTACAGAAAGAGAAAAATTAACTTTAAGAGACTTATTCACATCAACACATGCATACTAAAAAATGAGTGTGTAATTATTTCAAATAGTGTAACTTTTACGTAGTAATCTCATAAAAGCTTTATATGAAAAAAATTACCAAATGGATGTTATGAATGACGTAAAGCCATTGACTAATCAGCCAAATAAGACAACCATTAGTAATCCCAAAGGAATGTTACAATATATTTTTTGCCAAGTTTTTGCCTTTTATTTTTATATTTGACTCTTTGTAGCTCAGGAGGATTCTCAGTAAATAGCCATATATTATCACTTCTAAATACTAATTAAGAAAAATCAATCTTCAATATATTTGAGTATCATGGTTGTGGACCTGTCCTTTTTTGGCTATAAGTAAAACAATTTCAAGGATTAGAATCGTGTTTAGTTCTTCTGAATCGCAGAGAATTGCGTTTTGTGAGAATATATGTAATAGGAATTTAAGGCAAAGATACAACTCTCATATAACTCCCATCTGCCCTGTATTATTAAATTTTGGAAGTTTAATGAAACAAATACATGTATATGATTTTTAACGTGTATCTAAGAAAATATAATAAATAATAAATTTTTACTAAAAATCATAACATTTAATATTATTAATGCATTAAATTAAATGATATTATATGATTTCTAATAAAAAAAAATTACTATATATAAACTCATTACATTCTCTTGATCATACTTTAGAAAAACTGTTTAGTATAATGTTAAAGATATAGGTAGAGCTATTGGAGTTGAAATCCTTGAGGAGCCCACCCATCATTCTATGTCATCATCCACTTCAGTGTTTATTGTTGATTAATTGCTCTATCAAATTCTAACAAAATGATTCAAAATAAATGCAAAAGCCATTAAATATTTACAAAAATACAAAGCGTCAACTATTCACAGCTTTGTTAGCCAGCAAGGAAGCAGAATGTGCAAGTTCATATATCTTACTGAAATTATGTTGTGCTATAGCGTCTCTATCAAATATCGCATCTGACAAAACAACTGATGATGCTCCTCGTAAAATATATTCCTCAATAGAATCTACAAATGATTAAGATAAAGTCACTCACATTGGATAGTTGGCATTAACTCTGCTAATAAAAATGCATGCTTGTGTCTATTGGACATATATGAACGAGATTAGTACAATGCATATTTATCAAAAGCTGCTATAAGAAGGTTCTACTAAAAAAATGATTTGCAAAAATATTATAGTGTATGTTTTTTTTTTTAAATGTATCAACTTAACAAGAAACTTTAGTTAGTTCTAAAACATATATTGGAAAAAGTAAACAGAAATCCTTGACAAAAACAAATGCTTCTAGAAAATAGTTAAATAAAATCAACATTGTGAATGTGAGAAAAATGACCAAAATCTGCGTAGTATGTTTGTGATCCACTGGCTGTGCCTCTGTTGCTGTTTATTCAAACCATATAAAGAATCTCTGATTCATCACACAATAAATGTAAAATGGAACCATGGTTTGCCTGAGGTGAATTCTGAAAATAATGTTTTAACTTTTCATCATAAGTGCCATGTGGGCGTATACAGCCAAGGGTAGCTAAAATTTCAAGTGGATAGAGAAACTATGCACGCAGTAACATAACAACAACTGTTGTTTCCACCTAGCAGCAACGATATTTACAATGTATAGTAATCTTTGATCTCTACATTGTTAAGTCGCAAGTAACACCATTCATGATAATGCTTGCCGTTTTATGGTATGTGAGCATTTCATTTTTTCAAGTACAGGGAAACTTATTTGTAAAAATATTTGAGGATGAGACATATGAAAAGGTCAGGATTTTCAAGTTGGTAATGAGATTTTAAATATGATAATCCTTATTTTTTTTATATCTAGTACCCAAATTTAATTTATGTTCTGATGCAGTTTATAATGCATCTTGAAGATTATTGTAAAAGGTGGGGATTTTAAATATTTGGTAATAACCATATACCTCTATAAGATTCTTCTATTGAGTTATAGATGGCATCAAGGCTTAAAATTGCTCAATATATAACACAATAGGAAGACTGCAAAGCTACCTATTGTTATTCCCTGAGAAGCAACCATAGAGACATGAGGAAAGGGCTTCTTGAGTGCTGATATGTACTGAAATCCTCCAAGTGCTGAAACTGGATAAACCTATCATCCAAGGTAAAAGGCAAGTGTAAGAATTTCTATTGTGTTTAGTAACAGAGTGTCACACATGGAAGTAGGCGTACCTTTACAATTTTAGCACCTGCATCGCATGCAGACAATATCTGCATTGCATATAATGATCATTAAGGAGAGGTCAAATAAATGCAAGAAAAAAATGCAGAGGCTATAACATTAATGGTACAAGAATGGATCATGAGATCTGTAAAAGGCTTGAACCTAAAAGTTGACTCTTACTTCAGTTGGAGTCATTGTACCAGGAATATATAAAATTTCACCACTCTTAACGTAATCCATAATGTCCTGATAACCAAAAGACAAAATTGAAGAAAAGTTTACATTGGTTAGACATTCTATTATGTCCACAAACAAATAGTGACTTCCCAATGACATGTGACAGTCAATAATCTCCAAATCGAAATCAAACAAGAATAATAAATTATAGTTATAGGGGAAAAAAAGAAAAATAATAATAATTAAAAAAAAAAACGTGATTTAGCACAAGCAGATATTACGTGACATCTTCGGGTACATGAATAAAATTGCAAACCTTAACAATTGCAGGACTCATTAGAAATTTGGCTCCGGCATTAATTGCAGTTTTTGCATCCTCAATCCTGAGAACAGTTCCAACCTAAGGGAATATCTGTTCAGTTCAGACAAACATTGACAGAAATGCGATTTCAAGAAAGAGTATTGTAAATGATAGTCTTGATCATCTATATGTTAAAACAAATCATAAGAAGCAGTGGAATTCCTTTACAAGCTAGTAAAATCCTATAATTAAAAAAAAAACTCCCATCTTATAATAATTTGTGCATAATTTCAAGAGATAAATTTTATTACAGCATTCCAGAATCTAGCCAGAGAAAGGTTAGACAGTTTCAGAAAGATTTTGGTGACATTACTTAGACAAAGCATTGAAAACTAGGTTGGTCATTCCTCTTAACTGATGATGGGGCTGTCATGTTGATGTACTTGTCCACATGCATAACAGATCCAACCCAGAACTATTTCAAATGCCTCAACTTCATATTTTTCCCAAAATTTCTATAAGATAGTATATTTTGTTAGAAATAATCCAAAGAATAAATCACTTTTCTTCATTTGACAGCTAAGAAAAATATTCAGAGACAAAAAAGGCAATCCAAGAGTGAGCGTTAGTAGTTCTTCATGATAATCATCATTTATGTTTTACTCAACATGTCCACTAGGTTATACACAGTACAATCTTAAAAACTTAAAGTTTAATGAACTGAAAAAATAAAATGACATTTTCTCCGGATTTGTACGTGATATGCACCCAAGTCCCAACAAAGAACACTGATGCTGTGTGAGAAACCAGATAGAAACTTATATGATGAAAGCATACCCCTAGAGCCATTGTAGGATGCTCCTTCACCAGCTGCTGCAGAACCTACACAGACCAGAAGCATGTGAATTCTAAAGCTAAACTACAAGAAAAGGGAGTAAGTAGAAAAAGTTAGGTGAACAACCTCAAACACACCTGGGGTCGACATCACAATCTCCAACTACATGTAAAGAGAAAACATACAATAAGAAACACACCAATAAAACATATAGTCAACCACATTATATTCCATGCAAATGTATTCATCCTAATTCATTGTTCCACAAACTGCATACCAAGAAAGACCAGTTGTTTCAGCTTATAAATTTCTCAACCTTCCCAAATTTCATATAATGATAAGCAATCTAGATTTGAACTTCAAAGTTTGAAGAAAATACTTCAAGGTAATTCATAAATTCATATTCTTTTGAAGTTTCAATGCTATAAGGTTGAGTAACTTTCTTTCTAAATGGCCCAAAAGCATTTGAACTGATTCACCTGCAAGTATCACTTCAAATAACATAAAATAAAAGATCAAAAGTGAACTCACAACTGAAATGCCACCAGCTATTGCAGCATTTGCAGCTTCCAAGGCCACTTCTGCACTAAATGTAAGTGAAAAATAAAAAGTAAGCCAGAATAAACAGACTGCAATAAAAACAAAATTACTGACTATAGTTGTGACTTGTGAGCATCAAATTAAACTCAGTCATTAAGAGTACATCCATTGAGAAAATTATCTCATCTCAGCAAAAACGGGAAAAAAAAAATTCACATCCTTTACATTCAGTAACATAAACACGCAACAAACACAATTGGATTGACTAACGTGAATCTCCTAATTCAACTCTGTCTATGATGTCTCTTCCTATCCTCACAAGCTTAGACTAGACTAAACATGGTCTTGGACACTGTGTCTCAACTTAATCTATGACAAGTAGTTCATCCCTATCTCACATGTTGCATACAACCAAAATTATAACCATCCAAAGGGATGAAGGTCATTCAGAAAACCAAAAACCAAAATTTATTATAAGAATTAAAAAAAAAATCCACTTTTGGGCATTTTATTTTGTGGGTGTGTTAAAAGAAAGTGAATTGTGAAAAAGAGAAGCAGAGAAGAAAAAGGGACCTGTTAGCTCTGAGGCAAGCTATGATACCAGAATTCTTAATCCGATGAAGGGTTTTGTCAAGTGAGGATGCTGAAAGCTGAGGGGCTCTGCATGAAACACTCACATGCATACGCAGAGAAGAAGAAGAAGAAGACGAAGAAAAAGAAGAAGATGGGCACTGACACAGGGCTAAGGTTGCTGTCGCACTAGCCATTGTAGGTGGTGATTATGCCACTTCAACTTTTGTTTTGTACTCAAAAAACAGAAAGAAAAAACGTGGCATTTAAGCGGGAGATTAATTAATTATTAATTAATGGCTTATCCATTGCGGGATAGATCATAGACCGATGGAATTGAGCAACATCGGAATAACCAAACGGCATTCATGTTTTTAAGAGTAAATAAATAAATAAAGCAAGAGTTCAAAAGATTCTTTACTGACTTCCTTTTATATCTTATTTTTTAAAAAATATTTTTCACATTTACTACGATGAGAAAGAAATAATATTATAGGTTTAAAATGATTTTTTTGTTGTACGGTTTTAAATGGATTTAATATGAATAAAGTTATTAGTTTTATTTATTAATTGGTATGATATATTTTTAAATAAGTAAATAGTATAAAAGAAATAAAAATTTAACCTTCCAATATATTTTTTCTCATTTATTTTATTTATTAATATTTATACTTCAATCTCATGTTATAATTTTGAAGTGAAGTTTGTTATTTATTTTCCTTTTATACAGTTAGATATTTAATAGTTTATTCACTTTATGATACATGTATCATAAACTTTTATATTAATTATATTGATATTGTTTATAATTAGTTATCAAATTAAAAATCATGTCCTTAATAATCTTAATCGACATTCAAACGTTTTAATCAACATTTTGTATGATATGACATTAATAAATTATTATTAAAATAATTCCTAATTAATTAAACTATATTTTTTAAGATTTTAAAAATAAATACCTACACTTTTGTATTTTTTTTTATTATAATTTTTTTTAAAATTGAAATATTCACTAACTTTTTGTAATCTACGTATATTTATAAATGTTCATATAATATAAAAGATATTTTTTAATTCTAAAATAAAAAATTATACTTTTTCCTCATTTATAGTCACACCTAGGAATTATTAATGTAAGAAACATTATACACTTTTTTTTAATGTATGAATAATACGTCCGCAGTTATTTTTAAAAAGGGATACATGTTTCTTACGGTAATAATTCCTCATTTTTTAAAAAGAAAAATATACATTTTTAAATTAGAATTTATCAATTTATAGGACTTGTTTAAAAAATTTATGAAAAATAATTTGTAAATTCTATAAGCTATTTTAATAAATTTATAGGTATAAATTTTCAAAATAAAATTTATTGTTGAATTTATGTCATAAATTATCGTTTTAGATAAATAATGTGTTTTTTTCTGAATTATTAAATACTAGTTTTATTTTTAAATTTCTTTTTTTTCCCTATAATTAAGTTACTTATATTTTTCTATCTAAATTACAAAATATTTTTACAAAAATACGGAATACTTGCTAGTTTGATACTCTAGAAGTAATGAATGATTGAAACTTATATGTATTGATATTAAAAAAAAATGATAAACCCTTTTTATGAACATTTTTTGTGCAAATTATTTCCCTTGGAAGAAGAAAAAAAAAAAAAAACAGCAACGGTAGAATCTTACACCGCTGAAAACAATTCACTTACTGTTAACATGATAGTTTTATATTTGAGTCTATTTTTTATAATTAAAGTAATTATTATAAAAAAATATTAATGGTTTATACTATCAATGATTTAGTGTGTTTTAATTAATTTTTTAGACAAGATAAAAAAAATAAAATCAGAAAAGGAAATACGAAAATGCAATTTTTCACAAATTAATTATTTGACGATAATAAAAATATGGGCTAAAAGTAATAAAATTTGCATTTATTTATTTTTTATGATGATTATTACTGTTGTTGGTGATAACCAGACCCCTTTTCCTCCGCATCATCGTCTCCGTGCAGATTTTTCGTGAAGGAAGTGGTTCTGTTCTCTCTGCCCCTTTCCTTCAACCATTCGAGATCGCATTAGATCGCACCCGAAATGTACGGATTCGAAGCTCTCACCTTCAACATCCACGGCGGTTACCTCGAGGCCATCGTTAGGGGCCACCGCGCGGGCCTTCTCACCACCGCCGATTACAACAATCTCTGCCAATGCGAAACCCTCGACGACATCAAGATGCACCTCTCCGCCACCGAGTATGGTCCTTACCTTCAAAACGGTGCGTTTCCTCTCTCATCGATCCACAATCTCAATTTCTCATTATTATCATTTACTTAATAATTATTTTATTATTAGATTGCTAGGGATTATTATGTTTCCGTTAAGTTTGAGTGTAACATCTCTGGTTTCCTGAAAGTGCCTGCTTGATTATGCTTATACGGAATCGCAATTTTTTTTTCTCGCGTTTGTAGATTTGAAGTGGAAATGCTTAATGGAACATTGATCTAGGTTTTTCATTTGATTTTTAATGCGTGCTATTTCATGATTATATTGTGAATTTCCGTGAGATCTTGTTCCTCAGAGTAACTGTTGTTACACCTGGTTTTGTTCGATTTTCTCTGTTGAATTGAATGAAGGTTTGGAGAATTATTCAATTATCAAGTTAAGAAATTTTGTAGATTCTTTTGCTTCTGTATGAATACAACGGTGTTTACTCGTTGACAAGATATACTTAAAATTATTAGTCTATGTTGACGGATGATGAGTTACGTATTGCAGAACCTTCTCCGTTGCATACCACCACGATTGTGGAGAAGTGTACTCTTAAGCTGGTTGATGATTACAAGAACATGCTATGCCAAGCCACAGAACCCTTGTCAACCTTTTTAGAGTATATCACGTATGTGATCTTGACTTTTCTGATTGGTCTCTTATTGTATTTACTGATTTACTCTGTCAATGTTAGCTTCATATTGACGATATTAATTAGGTTGGGCTAGAAGAGACCAACAATTTAAAGTATATATTTTTAATGCTAAGCTGATTGCTGCTGTAACATCCAATTAGTCTTAGGCACTGTAATTGTAAGCAACTCTTCCTACAAGTGCAGCTTTGCTTCTGTAAAATTGAATCCAAATCAGGGTTGGCTCTGGTGAATGAGTTCTGTGCAGCCCTTTTATTATGATGGGAATTTACTGCTATCCTGAATATACAACAAAAGGAGTAAAGCTGAAACTAATATACTTACTGTTTTCATCCTGTAGATATGGTCACATGATAGACAATGTTGTTTTGATTGTTACTGGAACCTTGCATGAAAGAGATGTTCAAGAACTGCTAGAAAAGTGCCATCCACTTGGCATGTTTGACAGGTATAGTAATTTCTACGCAGTTTTTGATATATTGATTGTAATAACATAAAATTTTAATTTTCCTTTCCTCTTTTTGGGGGTTCTCTGCAGTATTGCTACTCTGGCAGTTGCTCAGAATATGCGGGAGCTTTACAGGCTGGTTCTTGTTGACACTCCTCTGGCTCCATACTTTTCTGAGTGCATTACATCAGAGGTAAATCATCATCTTTCCAGAATTTTATTTTGTATTGTTAGAGGATTTTAGTACTATTGTAGAAAATGGAAATAATCTTTGTGAATCCCCTAATTTAGCTCCAATAGATTGTGATGAAAACATTTCTAAGAAATTTTAATATCAATTATCATGAAATTATTGGCAACTAGTTGTTGGAAAGAATACCTTGATAGTATAGGCATCAATGACTTTGTTGCTTTATTGTTAAATTGTTGTAGTGTTTGTTGGTACTGATTTATTTTTTAAATATTTGCTCATGATACTTGTCTCAAATTGGACTTCGGCTGATTTGATTTTGTTGTTATATTCTGTTTCTCAAGGACTTGGATGATATGAACATTGAAATAATGAGGAACACTCTTTACAAGGCATACCTTGAAGACTTTTACAGATTTTGTCAGGTGAAGGGTCTGAGGCTCTGTTTTGTTCATTAGACATATATACTCTCTTTTCACAAGTTTCCCCCCTGATTTTAATCAATTTTGATGTTATTCCTTTACAGAAACTTGGTGGTGCCACTGCTGAGATAATGTCTGACCTTCTAGCTTTTGAGGCCGATAGAAGGGCTGTGAATATTACCATAAACAGGTATATTGAAACTAAGAAGGCTCGTTTTACCCCTTTTTGTTTATCTGGATACTTGCATAACTGCCCTCCATGGTTTTTGCTTGCAGCATTGGTACTGAACTTACTAGAGATGACCGTAGGAAATTGTACTCTAATTTTGGTTTGCTGTAAGCTTTCAATCCCAAGCTAAATATTTATATTTATTTTTTAAAATAAAAACTATTTATATGGTTGGAATGCTTCTTTTGGTAATGATTGACTTATTTTAAACAGCTACCCATATGGTCATGAGGAACTTGCTGTCTGTGAAGACATTGATCAGGTATGTTTTACATCTCGGCTCTGTGATGTTTAGGTTGTTATAGTGGTGGATATATGGTTTTTTCCTTATTTTAATTTGTACTTTTCTTGGGCCCTGCTAGTAGGTGTCTCTCAGGTGGTTGAATTGTGTTTATTAATAGCCAAGTCTGTGTAATATACTGTCAGTGTTCATATTGTTTGTTTTTACCTAAAGATGTATTGATAATTTGATACTGCTATGATTTTTGTTGTCTTCAGTTTAAAGATTGTTTTATGACTTAAACTGTACAAGTATGTTGGATGATTGTCCCATGAGTCTGACAGATGGTTGCACATGTTTTACTGAAGTATCACTTTTCTAAATTTTCTTTTTATGGATTCCCTTATCTTCAATTATCAAGACATACATGATCTGACTGCTTTTTATTTTATTTGTAGTTTGTGCTTGGTTTTGATTACTAATTTGTCCTTAAATACTTGTTAATCATCACAGCCATTGGAAGTGTCTACTTATTTCATGTTGATTTCTTCTAATAATGTTTTTTGAGCCCTAAATTTCTTATCTGGTTGCTCGTGTAGGTTCGTGCTGTTATGGAAAAATATCCCCCCTATCAATCTATTTTTGCAAAGTTATCATATGGAGAGAGCCAGATGCTTGACAAGGCATTCTATGAGGAGGAGGTGAAAAGGCTTTGCTTGGCGTTCGAGCAACAGGTTTATTTTTACAGTTCTGAGTATCATTATGTAATTTTAACATATACTGAATTAGTTAAATATTTTATTGGTTACCTGATCTTTCTTAGCAAGTGATCAACAAAAGTGGAAGTCATTTTGCCGGAGAGAAATTTATTGGCTTAAATGAAATTGTTGTCTTCTTTCTCTAAGATATGGCTTATTGACTAGTAAGCTGCTCTATTTTGCAGTTTCATTATGCAGTGTTCTTCGCATACATGAGGTTAAGGGAACAGGAGATCAGGAACTTAATGTGGATTTCAGAATGTGTGGCTCAGAATCAGAAGTCCAGAGTTCATGACAGTGTTGTCTTCATATTTTAGTCGGATTGCTCATTATAGTTTGTATGTTCGTTTGGACAAATTGTTTGTATACCTTCTGCATTCTCCATCTGAGTTGTCGATTGATAGACACTAGCAGCCACTGTTCAGAAGATTGTGATAAAAAAATAAGTAATCTTGAGCTGATGAAATCTTCTGTAATATGGAAGGAAGATTTTTATAGTCAAATTGATTAAATTATGTTCAGTTTTAAAGGTGTTAAATTCAATTTGTAAGTTGTGATTTTTGCAATAATATTTATATGGAATAAAATTGCTAGCTGGGTCCACGCTTTGCTGCCTTAATCTCTTTCAGATGTTGTTAGCAAGTCTAATAGAGAGAGTAATGCAAAAGCAATTATAAAACTTCTCCTGACACTAAAATGAGTTGTAGACGATGTCTCCATTTGGCCTTATAATCATATTGTATCAAAACATAATGAGAGTTCATGATGAGGGATCCCAGAAGATTGAGATTGAGATTGAGAGTAAATGAACAAGAACATCGCAATTATGTCTATGTAGTAGACCAACAAAAAAAGAAATGCCTATGGTGGTGTATTCAATGTGAAAATGCTGGTTTTATCAACAGTATCGTGTTTCTACTTGATTGATACTCAATTCATTAACTGTACGTTGATTTTAAGATCTGAAACCATCGCATGAGACAGTAATTGACAAATGGACCTAACTAGCCTACAATAATCACCGACAAAATAAGTTAAATGAGAAAATTGTACTAAAGGAACGTTTGCATAATAACTAAAAAGAAATTATTTTGACAAGTGATATAAATAGATTTATTAAAATAATTTTAAAAAAATTATGAGAGTTATAAGTTAATTTTGTAAAGTTTTCGCAAGCTTGCTTAACAAAATCCAACAGCCAATTGCTTCGACGAACTTCATATTATAGGTATATATCTGCGTATAAATATCTTGTAATTAAAGAAAATACAACAGTAAGTTAGATCTTACTGGTCCACATAAAGAAAAGAAAAGAAGTGTTTGACTGTTCGAAACACATTTATTCCTACCATTAAGGAGCCTAGCTTGTTTCAAGAACGGCATATGAAAACATAAATGAAAAGGAGTGAATTACGAGACATAACGAGAGATAATAAAAACCATATAATGGAATCAGCACAAGCTGTGGTACAAATATTTCAAGGCAAATATATTCACATTTGTAAAACATAGCATGCATCTTCCCGAATAAATTTCATACTAATAATGACATAAGATATCGAGCAAATTAAGTAAGAGATATCAAATTATATTATGGTAAATGCAAATGAGAGATCTTAAACTACCATGATCGGTCCCTAAAGGAGGCAAACACAATGCTTAATTGTGCACATACATTATATTTATATAGACCAATTAATAACAATGCTCAGTTATTTTTTTCTTTTGAGCAATATTAACAATGCTCAACTGAGAAAACATGAAAGTTGAAGAAATTAAAGTTGGGCCCCCCAAGGGCTGAAGAAACCTACACCGAAGGGGCAAAGTCAAACCCAGAAATGGACCACGCGTTTCCGTTTGCTAATCTGTTACAGTGGTCAACGCATGTCACTTGTACTAACAAAAATGTTATATGGTAACAAAACGTTAAACACTGTCCTCGAGTTAGTATAGCAAAAATTAAATGGCTAATATTGACATTGTTGATCTATATTGATGACTTTTTAATATTCAATAAAAATTTATAACATCTCACATGTAGATACCGTGTCCATAACTCTTATTTTTATTTTTGATAATAAATTACATAAAAAAACTTAATAGTCATAATAATTCTTTGCTAAAAGATATGATATAAATATTCGTGAAAGAGCATTTCACTATTATAAGTAAAAGCTTATGATTACAAAATGAGACACATATTTTTCTTTTCCGGTAATTATTAGAGAAGATAAAAAATAATTTTACATAAAGACTTGAAAGATAAAAAAAAAAAAAATTTCTTCTCCAAATTTTTTTTATTAAGTACACTTCTACTTTGATGTTAATTTTTATTTCTTCAAAATTTTACATAAAAGTCTTCAAATTTTTTCATTCCAATTTCAACACGTTAGACTAACAATGACATTAATTTTGAAGAAAAGTTCATTTTATTTCTATATTCTTAATTATATGCAACTTGGATCTTAATTTTTGAAAGTGTACAATATGTCACTCTATTTTTAAAAGTGTAAAAAAATATTTTTGTTACTCAGCCATCCAATCTTTCTATTTCTTGAACAAAAATATTTTAAAAAATGTTCCCTGCCAAGAAGGAAGAAAATAAGAATTTGAAGATATTTTTGTTAAAAAAAACAGAAAAATTAGACAGCTGATTATAAGAAAGGATTTTGTTTTTTTGCATAATTTAAAAATTACACGTCGTGTTACACACTTTCAAGAGTTAATATCTAAACTGCATGTAACATACATGCAGGTAAAATATATATTTTTCTTAATTTTACAACAAATGGTTGACCAAGGCCAGGATTCAATGAGTGTAAAAAGCCCGATTACAGTGACTCACTTTTTATCCAAATGCTTAGATAAAATTACTAAGATACAATGGGGTTTTTGGCGTTTCTTGATTTGTCAATAGTGTTTCTCTTGCTTAATCCAGTGTTCACTTCCACATTTACAAACAGTTTTCATTTGATTCAGCATACACAATGTCATGAAGATGAAAGCTATGCCCTGTTGAAATTTAATGCAGGCTCTATGATTAGTAAGTTTGCTTCTCATAATTCTCTAAGTTATCCTAAAATAGCATCTTGGAATGCAAACATGGATTGTTGCTTATGGGATGGCATTGAATGTGATGAGTCCACACATAATGTAATTGCCATTGATCTTAGAAGCAGCCACCTCTATGGTTCAGTGCATGCTAATTGTAATCTTTTTTCTCCTATGCACCTTCAAAATCTTGATCTTTCTGATAATGATTTCAATTACTCTCAAATCCTATCTAGAATAGGTGAACTTTCAAAGCTAAGATATATGAACCTTTCTCATGCCAATTTTCTTGGTGAAATTCTTCAACAAGTTTCACATTTGTCCAAGTTAGTTTCTCTTGATTTAGACATAAAATGCTTTGAATTTCAAAATATCCACTCTAAAAATCTTAATTCAAAACTCAACTAATCTTGAAATATTTCGTTTTCGTTACGTGAACATTTCATCATCTGTACTTTATATACTCACAAATCTTACATCTTTACCACATCTCACTCTTTACCATTGTGAACTTTATGAAAAATTTTCAGTTGGAATATTCTATCTTCGAAACTTAAGAATTATAAATTTAGGATTTAACCAAAACTTCAAGGATAAATTTCTTGATTTTCACTCAAGTGTATTTATTAGTGTGTTACATCTCGCTGACACAAGTTTGAAATAACATTAACATATTACGTTAAATAATATGTGTGAAATATGACATAATATATACTATGTTATTTTACATGTGTAAACGAGTAAATATAGTCAAACAATAATTATTGTAATTTTTCTTTTTTTTCACTAAAGAATCCTAATTTTTCTTATAAATCTTAAGATTCAAATTGTAATTATTCACCTGTTGAAGTTTGAGATAGTTGAATTTAGCAAATTTGAACAGTGCAATAAGCAATGTTTTAGGGTTTTTTTTATTATTTTTTAATGCTTCATGTTGCTCTTACCTGTTCAAGGTATTGGAGAAAGCATAAGAAGGTGGACATGAATGTCATCAAGCACTAAGGTAAATTCTTTGTGGTTTGTGCTTTCTATACTGTCACAATTCCCCCATTATTCATAAGGACCAGAAATGTGATAACATTTTTGTCAATGGGAATAATGGACAAGTTAAGATTATTGGATTGGTGATTGTCATGCAACAACCAACAATTAAGATTTGTGAATTGGATTTAGGAATAACTTAAGGCTTTTTGTCAAAGAAAAAGAAAAAGTTGTAGGTAATAAATTAAGAATAAATACGTAAAACAATTATAATCATTTATTTTAGTAGTAGAGTTAGTAGTATATTTAAAAAATATATAAATATCTTTTAATAACTTAATATAATTTTAAAAAAGTATTCAATGTTAATATAAATTTAGAAGTGTCATAACAGGCACTAAATTTACTTGTCTATTCACAGTATTTGAATTTATAAACTAAAATATCTGACAAATATGAAATACAGATATTAACATTACGTTCTACCTCATAATCAAAATAAAGACTTAGTCCTTTATTATTTATTATATCTTTCCGTGAAAGGCAATTTGATTGGTCAATTTCTTTTGGTTGTTTTTTTTTTTTTTTGTTTAAAATATTTTCGTACTATATAGCACTTCTCCAAATGAAATACATGACGAGATCAAGAAGACAAAATGCTTTATAAAATTGCATCAAGACAATCCAAATTTGCTGGGTCCCAATTGATTCTACCCAGCGGTCGTTTTGGCTACGGAATTGAAGAGATATATAGTTAGATTGAAGATATATATTACCCCAAATGAATGGCTTGAAATCGTAAACGGTAAGACATCACATAACCATAGAACGTAAACCCCGAGTGAAATAATAGAGACAGATGTATATACATACAATACAGAAACTCCCAAGTGATGGAAAAGTTTGCGGATGATAGTGAAGAAAACCTCAGAATCCTCACTGTACAATCAAGCTTCAAATAGACCTTATGTTGGATTGAAGTGTTTTGGTAAAACACACGTTTGAATGCCAGAAATACAGACAAGATTAAGTAACTACAATACAAAATTGCAAACTCTACTGTATATAACCGTCAAGTGCATCAAACAAAACTTTTCAGAAACTCATAATCGAAACCATAGGCTTTTCAAGGTGATCAAATTAGTCCCACAATTAGCCCAAGACAAACATCAGAAACAGTCTCTCACCCAGAGTGCACGACACGGTCTTTAATTGATTAATATTTTCATTAAAAATTAAACATTTTCAATAGTTATAAATGTGAATGCGTGTGAATTAAAATTGCTGTATAACCAGTCGATTATTTTAGTATAAAAATAACTTACACACCCCACTTTTTGTATGAATCTTTCAGCTTAAAACGCTAAGATACAATCGTACAATGTCTCTTGTTATATTACCACAGCGTCTTCTCCTTCATTCACTTTTCTTATTCACAATTACTGATAGTTTTTAGTGTGGGTGAGATGAGTAAGATAGTTGAAATGTGTTAGTAGGAATAGTTAAAAATAGTAGTTGAAGAAGTTTTAGTAAGAGACTCAAGAGATGGAGAATTGATGTTTATGATTAATTCTTCTTCATTGC